ATGCCGATGATTCGGGGCTGGACGCAGCCTCCGGTGATGAAGACCAGCCCGACGAATTTGCGGCCGACGATTGGCGTGATGAAAATAGCGATGAGGACGAGCAGATGGAACAGGACAGTGACGATGCGTCCTCTGGCGATGAGGAGTATCAAAGTTTGGCAGATGTCAAGGGAGCCACGGCGCCCAGCGATGGCTCCGACGAAGAGGATGAAGAAGCACGCATCCTGGCCAGCAACATGAGCTGGAAAACGAATATGGCGCAAAAGGCGCGTGATGCTTTCCTGCAACGCCACTCGGAGTCGCGCAATCTGATGCGTCTGGTATACGGAGTATACAATCAGGGCGAAGTCAACAGGCAGCAGCAAGAGGATGCCGACGATTCTGAGGAGGAGTTGGGCGGTCTGTTTCGCGTGGCCACCAAAAAGCAAACCGAACTGCAGAAGGACAAGGACGTACGCGACAAGGACGAGCGCTGCTTCTTCGAGTATCAAAGCGGTAAGTCTGTTCAATATTTTAGGCTAGAGTAGATTAGAACTTTTCCCGCATCAGATGCTACGCGCGACTGGCTATCCGAAGCGAACAAGGAGCTAATCAAGAACTGTTTTGTGACTGGCAAGTGGAAAGCTTCGGAGGATGCCGAAAATTTGCTTAAGCTGGATGACATGAGCGATGCGGACAGCGAGGTGTATGGCGACTTTGAGGATCTGGAGACGGGTGAGCAGCATAGCGGCAAGCCGAAAGCAGCGATCGCTGAGGACGAGCCAAACGATGAAGAGGCAGCTGCTCCAGCTGCTACGGCTGCCAAACGTAAAATGACGCGCGTGGAGGAGGAGAATCTAACAAAAGCCGAGCTGATGGCCAAGAAGCTAAAGCTGAAGGCCAAGTTCGATGCGGAGTACGACAATAGCGGCGAGAAGGCTGAGGACGATGGCGGCCGCATCACTGGCGACCATTCCTTCTACGAGGACCTCAAGGCGGAGGCGCAGAAGCAAAGCGAACTGAACAAACGCGAATTTGCCCAGCTGGACAACGAGCTACGTATTCAAATCGAAGGCTACCGCGCCGGCCTATATGTGCGCCTGGGCTTCAAAACAATTCCTGCGGAGTTTGTGGAGAATTTCGATGCCAGTTATCCCGTGCTGGTGGGCGCACTCAACATGACCGAGGAGAATGTGGGCTATGTCAATTGCAAGGTGAAAAAGCATCGCTGGTACAAGAAGATCCTCAAGACGGGCGACCCGCTTATCGTCTCTATGGGCTGGCGTCGATTCCAAACGGTCGCCATTTATGCCAAGGTGGAGGATAACCTGAGGCATCGTTATCTGAAATATACGCCCAATCATGTGACCTGCAGCATGACCTTTTGGGGTCCAATAACGCCACAGAATACTGGCTTTTTGGCGCTGCAAACGGTGCGCCAGGATCAGGAAGAAATGAAGCGTTTGGGCTTCCGCATAGCCGCCACAGGCTGCGTTACCGAACTGGACAAATCGTCGCAGATAATGAAAAAGCTTAAGCTGGTGGGACATCCATTCAAGATCTACAAGAACACGGCGTTCATTAAGGACATGTTCACCTCCTCTCTGGAGGTGGCCAAATTCGAGGGCGCCAAAATCAAGACCGTATCCGGTATACGCGGCCAAATCAAGAAGGCGCATCACACGCCCGAGGGCTCCTATCGTGCAACATTCGAGGACAAGATTCTGCTCAGCGACATTGTTTTCTGTCGCACCTGGTTCCGTGTGGATGTGCCACGTTTCTATGCTCCAATCACATCGCTGCTGCTGCCGCCAGACCAGAAGAGTCAGTGGCAGGGCATGAAGACGTTGGGCCAGTTGAAGCGGGAGCGAGCACTTCAAAACGAGGCACAGCCGGATAGCATGTATACAGATATTGTGCGCAAGCCGAAGATCTTCCGCCCGTTGGTTATACCCAAGGCACTGCAGCGTGCGCTACCCTACAAGGATAAGCCTAAGCTGGCGCCAGAGAATCCACGGCAAGCGCTTGAACGCGTTGCCGTTATCAACTCGCCCTACGAGCAGAAGGTGGCCAAAATGATGAAGATGATCGAGACCAACTACAAGGATAAGCGCCAACGCGAACGCAAGGAAACCAAGCAGCGTATGCAAAAGTTCCGAGCACAAAAACGTGACGAAGAAGCCTCCAAGCTGAGGCGGCAGAAGGAGCTGCGCAAAAAGGTCTCCCGAGCCATCAGCAAGATGCGCGGTAAAAACAATAAATGATAGACCCTAGGATAAGCGTGAAAATAAATTTGTACAATTTAGAATGGTTTACACAACTCGCTTTTACTTGCTCAACGGCGCTGGAGCAGGTGCAACACGCACTGAACCAAATCCTGGCACAAATGGGCAAGCCATCCATATGGACCAGCACTTGTCCAGCAATTGCTGCACATGCTACGGCTGCCGCGCCTACGGAGCTCTTTACTTGGAATCAATTAAAAAATATAACTTAACGCAGCTTAAAGTCTAGAAAAAGAAAAACTGAAACTAGTCCTCATCCTTGTTGTCATCGATGACCTTGAGAGCGGCGAGCAGTGCATGCTTGCGACTGGCAACCATTTGGCCCCCAGCACCAACTCCGGCGGTGCCTGTCGAACTGATGCTGCTGCGCTTCTTCTTGGCGGGATCATCGCGCATGTTGCTGCCAGAGTTCGGGCGACAATGTATATCCAAGAAGCTCTCGCGTTCCTTGTAGTCATCAGAGATCAGCTTTCGCAAGCCAGACACATTCTCCTTCATGCTGGGCGCACGCAAATTACCCTTTTGCTGTGTTTATGGAATAGTTGTTATACTTATTAATGGTTACTTTAGAGATCATTTGATTAGTTACCAAGCCTGCTTTGCTTGGGGGCTTTGGTGATTGTTCGTCGTCGTCGTCGTCATCTTCATACTCCTCCTCCATCTCGAGCATCTCAGCCAGTTCACATTTTGTATCCAAGTAGGGGGCATATTCGTCATTTTGAGACTCCTCCTCTTCGGTTCCATAATCTTCTTGGTCCATGTTTCCGTACTTTTTGGCATCGCCATCTTCCTCCTCGTCCTCGGCACGCTCGGAGTCCTCTTCGTAGTCGTATTCAAATGTTTTTGCTAGTGCCTCCAGTTTGTCGGCAGCCGCATCGGCTGCTGCAGTGTGCTTGGCACTTATATCGTTGTCCCGGCGCTTGCTTGCCAGGCTGCTCCGCGCATTGCTGCTGGCCAGAGTGGATACACTGCCGCTAGCGCCGCTGCGCAGACGAGGATTGGGTTTGGGCTTGGACGGATTCAACATTTGGCCGAGACGGGACGAATTGTTTGCATTGTTGGCCAACGGCTTGGGCAGAGTGGTGGCCGGTGGCAGCGTCAATTTGGCGCGTGTTGGCTTGTCCTTATCCTGAGCATCCGGCATTTGAGCTGGGTTCTTCTCCTCATCGGCATCATCCTTCTCAAAGTCAAAATTGGAATCGGTCTCCAGGACGTCAGTCAGCGCATTAAATTCACTCTGGTTGTTCTTCTCAATGGCCTTGTCCAGCATTTCGAGTGACTTTTCCAGTTTCTCAATTTTGTCCGAATCCTCGACGGCAGTCAGCTTGGTGCGACGACCAGAGGCCAAGGGATTAGCCTTGTCGACCTGCAATGGCGCGTATACAATATTGTTCAATAAGTATATGTTTAATTTGGACTAACTGTAAACTCTTCCAGCTTGCGATAGCCGCTAATCTCGAGTCTGGCCTTCTCCAGCTTCAGCATGACCTCCTTGCATTTCTTCTGTTCGTTGAGCAGCTGCTGGCGGAAGTTCTTTGATTCCAGCTGCACCTTGCGTGTCATGAGCTTCATATCGTTATCCTTCTCTTGCAGGCGCTGCTCCAACGAGCGCAGCTTATCCTGCAGCTTTTGGCGTTCGTCCAGATTTCTGCAAAGTAACTTATTAGTTTCAACCATTCTCTTTGGCTCAACTAACGCTTACTTGTCCCTGATGAGCTGGCTGAAGTGTCTGTTCTGGTCGCTTAGCGTTAGAATCTGTGCCTCCTTTTGCTTCAGCTTCGCCTCCAGCTCCTTGTTGGCGGCTTGCACGTTGCGATGCTTGGTCTGCCAGACGCGCAGCTCCTCGGCATGGGAATGCAATAGCTGCGGCAGCTCGGCTCCGGTATTCTCATATTTGTTGAGTGCCATCGACTGGCGCTTGTGCATGGTGCGGAGCATGCGATTCTCATGCGCCAAATTGGATATCTCTGCCTGGGCATCGGCCAGCTGATTCTGAAAGGTTTTCGCGCGCAAATTGCGCGCCGACATTACGCGCTGATGTATCTCACTGGTGGCATTGTTGGGCACCATCGAGGGCTGGCGGATGCCATTGGCCTTCAAGCCGCGCGCCGGCTGCTTGCGCTGATAGATCTGGCTGGCGGATTCGCGAGAGCTGGCCGAGTAGAGGCTCTCACAGCTTTTTGCCGGCAACCTGAGAGTTGCGAGTCGAGGATGGGAGAGAGTTGAGCCACAATGTTAATGTGGTGCGTACCGCTTGGATACGGATACTTACGACATGGTGTTATTATCCCAGGCGAGATGCTGCACTAAAGGTCGATGCGGACTCGAGGCGATACCATCAAAGTGCACACACAGTGTGCAATATATTTTATTTTGTTGCGCTGAAAAGTTGTATTTATTGTAGCGTGCTTTTTTTCTATGTGTAAATATTGTTAATGCTGGATTCGAATGTGGGTATTGGGTATGTGTTGCCGGCTGTTCAGCTGTCGATTTATAACTGAAAATTGACTGGCTGCTGCTGTGGTTACGAATTTCTCGTTTGTTTATTGTTTGCTTATACAAATTCATTTAAAACTCTAGCCTTGGGGCTGGTCAAATCTGTAATCCGTTGCCATGGCAAACAAAAAAATAAACCAAAAAAAAAACAAAACGGTAGTTGGCGCAGATGTAACGGTACTGGCCAATTGCCAAGCAAATGTCTGCCTATCGATTGGCGCAGAGCTGGCAACTTGTTGCAATTGCCAAAATGGTTCGCTCATCTAGTTCGCATGGACCAGCCAACCGGTTCGGCCGTGAACGGCAACAGCTCTCAATTGAACACCGAACGGCGAACACTGGGCGCTTTCTATTTCAATGCATTTTCATTAATTGCTCCAGTTTGTTAAGTGAAAATCAATCAATGCAATTGCGCGCATCCGGAAGTATTACGACATATGTAGCGTGCCCGCATTAAAGTGTGTAGTTGAAACTGAAAGAATGCGCTTAAATGACGCTATAATTAAACAGCTGCCACACAAACTCATCTCATTTGTAGAAGAAATTCAACGCACGTAGGCGCCGCCACAAGGACGTTTGAGGCTGTCAGCCGGAGAGGGCACATTTGACGTCAGCATCCACAATAGCACAACAGCAAAAGTACAAAGAACAGTTCAAGAAGTCTCGCAATGATTCACGTTGGCGAAAACTCATGGAATCTGCGCATCTTCATAACGGATCTGGCGCTGGAGCGCACAATGCGCGTGCGCGGCGATCAGCACCTGGGCAGCATACTGCTGCAGCTGGTCGATCCGGAGAATCCGAAGGACTGGTCCGATCATGCGCTCTACTGGCCGGCCAAGAACGTTTGGCTAACACGCACACGCGCCACCCTCGACCAGTGCGGCGTGCAGGCGGACAGCTTGCTGCACTTTACGCCCATGCACAAGGTGCTGCGCGTTCAGTTGCCGGATCTGCGCTATATAGACTGTCGGGTGGACTACTCGGCGAAGACGTTCGGCGCTGTTGTGAATCTGTGCAAGCAACTGGACATACGCTATCCGGAGGAGCTGTCGTTATGTAAGCCGCTCGAGGCGGAGCATCTGAAGAAGAACTTTGCCCAGCTGCCGCATCTGAAGCGTGTGCCCATAGCCGAACCGGATGGCACCACATATCTGCAACCGGCACCGGATACCAACTCATTTGTGCCCATCAATTCGGGTTTTAATGGCGGCAGCAATGGCAGCCTGGACAAGCCATCGGCGCCGGGCCTGTTCTTCTGTGCGCCCCTGTCGCCGCACAATGCCGCAGGCAGGCGTTCACCCACGCCTCATACGCCCGGCAACTGGAAGCCCAGCCAAACTGGGTACGGCACCTACGACTCCTCCTCTAGTCTGGGCGATTTTCAAGAGAACTTGGCCAGCTCGCCGCATACGCCCAGTGCGGATGTGCGCGCACGCCTATTGCGACCCAAATCGCTGGTGGAGAAGGCACGCCTCAATGTTGGCTGGCTGGACAGCTCGTTGTCTCTCATGGAGCAGGGCATACGGGAATACGATACACTCTGTTTACGTTTCAAGTACTATACGTTCTTTGATATGAATCCCAAGTACGATCAGGTGCGGATCAATCAGCTATACGAGCAGGCCAAATGGTCCATACTGAACGAGGAGCTGGATTGCACCGAGGAGGAGACGCTTATGTTTGCCGCCCTGCAATTTCAGGTGAACCATCAGGTGGACATGCAGCCGCTGGCAGCCATTGACTCGGGCATTGAGACGTCCAGTCAGGAGAACGACGATGATGATATCGATTCCGCGCTCAATGAGCTCCAGATCACACTGGAAGGCAGCAATGCACACGATCCCGTTAATATCACACGCATACCGGAACTCTCCGATTATCTGCGCTTTCTCAAGCCTCAACGTTTCACGCTGAGAGGCTACAAACGCTATTATTTTATTTACCGCGACTTGCATTTGCATCTTTACAAGACGGCCGACGATTCGCGATGCACTGCCCCCGCGATTACCATCAATTTGCGCGGCTGCGAAGTCACACCGGACGTGAATCTTGCGCAGGGCAAATATGCCATACGCCTGGAGGTCTCGCCCGAGGACCATCATGGACCCAACAGCGAGGTCTGGGTGCGCTGCGAGAACGAGCAGCAGTACGCCAAGTGGCTGGCAGCCTGTCGCTTGGCAGCCAAGGGTCGCTCCTTGGCCGACAGCACATACGAGAGCGAGGTCGATGGCATCTTGTCGCTGCTGCAGATGCAGCGACCCGTGCACGGCGTGCATGTCAACATTGATCCGCGGAGCGTGGATGCCGTAGACTATCTGTCACCCAAGATGCTGCGCAAGCTGTCCGGCAAGGCGGTGCAGCGCATCCTGGAGGCGCATGCCAATGTGCGGGAGCTGACGCTGCTAGAGGCCAAACTGAAGTACATACAGGCCTGGCAATCGCTGCCCGACTTTGGCGTCTCGCTGTTCATCATCAAGTTCGATGGCCATCGTAAGGAGGAGCTGCTGGGCGTGGCTCACAATCGCATTATGCGCATGGACCTGAGCACTGGGGATCACATCAAGACCTGGCGCTACAACAGCATGAAGGCCTGGAATGTCAATTGGGGCATAAAGTGCATGATGATACAGTTTAATGACGAGAATGTTGTCTTCTCTTGCCACTCCGCCGACTGTAAGGTGGTCCATGAGTTTATAGGCGGCTACATTTTTATGTCCATGCGCTCCAAGGATAACAATCAGACGCTGAACGAGGAACTCTTTCACAAGCTGACGGGCGGCTGGTCGTAAATTGAATATTTTTGCTAATTTATTGAAATCTTTTGTTGTTGACAGTGGCCTTGCTTAGAGCCCATTTTTATAACCTGACGAATGTCCCTAATCATTTTTGGACGGATGCCTTTTTGAAGCGTTTATCTTAACTAATCCTGGATGGATTCTAACTGATTTTAACTGAAAGTCTACAATACTAGCCAAGGGCGCTTTTGCCTTCCTAACTTTAATAACTGAGCCTTTCTACAACTAACTTTTAAGCAGAAATAAAATGACGCATTCTAACAAATGGTATGGTATATCATATTTAAACTGGCCCGCGCGCCATTTCTGTTATCGATAGCACGATAACTAAATGGAAGCTGCACTTGATATCGATAACTGTATCAGCTGTTCGGCTGTAAACAAACCGTTTGTCAATGTTTTTGGCACTGAATGAAAAATGGCAAAAACCACGTACGGTAAACGAAAGCCTTGGGTCAAGAACCTCTATTCAAACCGCGAATATCCGGATAACTATACGGATGTGAGTTTCCTGAAAGATCTGCGCACAAATCTTCACGTGCGCCTGTACACTTTCGGCGAGGCTGTTGCCGGCATAACCGTGCTGAACAATCAAATCTCGTGCATAACCGGATTCCTGATACTCTACCATATGATGCTGGTCGAGAGTGTCGCACCCACCAGTATATTGGTGCCCTCGTGCATCATTACTGGCATCGGGTATTTGTTCTATCGCGGCAGCAGTCTCAGCATGTTGCTGTTGGGAGAGGACTCCAAGACGCTGGTCACGGTGCTGCTATTTGGCTACATCTTTTCACCCATGCTGCACACATTGACACAGGCCATTAGCACGGACACCATATATATGACGACTTTCTTTATGATGCTCTTCAATCTGATGTTCTCCGACTATGGCCTGGATGTGGCCATGGTCTCCAAGGCCATATCGCTGAATGCGGCCATATTCGGCGCCATCTGCCTGGCCTCGCGTCTATCCACATCGTATCACGCCTTTGTTCTGCTCGTCGAGGCGGCGATCTTCTTTGTGCTCTATCCCATAATGATAGCAGCCACATGGCACCCGCTGTGCATGGTGCCCATGTTTATCATCTGCTGCACGGCGCTCTATAATATATCACGGCCGGTTCTGTATCTATATGCCTGCAGCATGCTCTTCATCAACTTTGTTTGCCCGTTCATATTTGTGAGGCAACAGCGCCACAAGTTCAACATTCACGGTCCCTGGGACGAGGCAATCGTTGAGGAGAACACCGACAAGAATCTGGACGAGAATTTATAGCGCCAGCTTCGCTTCTCAGAGATGCAAAGCATCGATGACGGGGAGCATGAGCCAGAGCACTAAATACATAAAATGCACGCTTAATTTATATATTTATCCACATTCAATGTAAAAAGCCTTTCTAATTAATGTAAATTTATTTATTTTTTTTTAATTTCAAATTCATATCTAAATTGTACATAGAGACATTTCCACTGTAAATAAAATCCATTATTGTATTAAAATAAATTTATTGAACGTCGAAGAAATAATAAAAAAAAAAAGAATAAATTTATATTTACAAATGAAGATTAGTTGCACAATGAAACTAGAAGGGCTTTCGCATGGCTATTATAATAAAGCTATAGACCGAAAATAAAATGATTTGTATTGGTTTTAATTTGTATCATTTAATTATAATAATTATGTTTGATGTAGGCATATTTACAAACATAAACGCAAACATGTTGAAACAATCATAAAATAATACAGCATTTATCGAATTAATGACAAAGTTGACAAAGCGCTTAAATTAACTGAAGTCTTAATTGCCATTGCAGTAAAAACCTTTTTACATTTAGCATTATGATAAAAACTACTAAGAATAAGAAACTAATGCCTAACGCTTGCGTACATATACAGTATGTATTTGTGTTTTATTTTGTTTTCCTTTCATAGAATATGCATATGATAATACACTAGGTATTTGTAATTCTATCAACTTTTCGCTAAACATTCGCACTAAACGCGCCCAACGGCCACTGTCTTTGATCATTAACTATATATATATATATATATATATATATATAACTATTAAATACAATATATATATATATATTTTGTTGTTTTCGTTTCATGTATAAACTTTTTCAAAATGTAAAAAACGTACATATGCTTAATTGTTGTTACATGTTGCTTTGGACTTAATGCTAAAATTAACTATTCCTTTGTGTTATTTTGTTTTTTTTTTTTTTTTTTTTGTGTTAACGCTATCAACATCCCATACAATCATTTCTACGAATGACATTTTAACTGCATGTTTTCGCGGCTCTAAGTCTAAAGTTGTTTTGAATTGAATTAAACTAGCACAGAAAATCGAATGAAATACGCTGTGTGGTTTGTGGCTGTGCAGTGTTTGGGGTGGGTGGGGCTTCACAAAAACACAGACACGCTCAATATTTTGTTTTAAACTAGACACGCGCAATAACAACAACGCTTAACCACGGCTCAAGTCGACTGGCCCTATAAACGTAATTTGTTTATATGTAAATTCTACTAAAGAACAGTTTAAGTTGCCAAGAAGAATGCGTGTAATATATAAGATAGAAAAAAAAAAGCCCAACACTACAATCTCCTTTCTCTGTTTTTTAGGTTTAAAGCGCCACCTCGTCACCGTTGCGCGTGCAGGCGCCGCCGCTGAGCTTCACCTGCTCCTGGCAATGCTGCTCGGCGCGCAGCTGCAGTTCGCGGCGTCGTTGTGCGGTTAGCGAGAGACTTGGACTGGCATCGCTGGCCGCGATGACTTTGGAAGTTGCTTGACTGTTTGGCTCGTAAAATATATCACGTGTTGATGTGCTTGGGCTTGTGGCAAAGTGTACTTGATGTTGTTGTGCTGGCTGCTGCTGCTGTTGCTGTTGTCAGACTATTTCATTCTTTGGCGTTGGCTCCGCAGATCCTGTGACAGCGCTGCCGTTGCTTAACGCCTGGTTACCACTGGCTGCGGCGGCGGCTTCTAGCAGCGAGCCGGCCTCAACATCGCCAGCCTGGCGTGCCGCATTGCGTTGGCGGCACATGTACGGCGAATTGGTGGGCGAGGGCAGTTGATTCTGTAAGTAGAGTTAGAGTTAAGTTGCTGAGCAAAAGCAAAAGCTAATTTCGAATTACCAATTTGTTGTTGTTCTGGCAGCAGGTGGCCTTCACGCAGCCCTCGTCCGTGGTGGGGCAGTCGAGGGCGCAGCAATCGGAGCCGCTCATGTTAATGCTCGAGGTGCCATCGGACATATTGCAGCCCTCAATCTCACTGAACTCCGGCTGTATGGTAGTCGAGTGTATGCCCTCATTGTGAAAGAACTCCTTGACCTTCTCGGCTATCTTCATATACTCCGACAAATTGCGACAACTACGGCGGATGACAAAATATCATTAGATAGCGGTATGGAATTATGCTGTCGACTGCTTCCACCCTACCGTATATGCGCGGAGGCAATGATGCGATCGCCGGCCAATTGCCAGACATGAAACTCGTGCACGGCCAGCACGCCGTCGACCTTCTCCAGAAGACGCTTCTGTATGGCATCCACCTGAATGTGCGTGGGCACCGTTTGCAGCAGAATAAGCGCAGATTCACGCAACAGCGGCCACACAGAGTGCAAGATGAGTGCCACTAGTACAATAGACAGAGCCGGATCAATGTACAAGCGATACTGCCAGTCGCTCTTCCAGACGACCAAAGCGCTGACCACGACAATGACGCTGCCCAGGGCATCGCTGAGCACGTGCAGAAAGGCGCCACGCATGTTCATCTGGCCGGGATCATGGCTGTGACCGTGACTGGACTTCTTCACCTGCTTCTCCTTCTGCTTCTCATAGGCATAATCGTTCTGCTCATCCTCGCCCTCGTCCATGTTGGCCAGCTCCGTGAGGCGGCTGTGATTGCGCGTCAGACCACCGCCATGCGAGTGTCCATGATGACCGCCGTGCTCTAAAGGTATTTCAATTGATTAAATGCTTGATAGACAATTAAGTGATATTAAGTATACGCACCATATAGCAGACACAGGCCAATCATATTGACCAGCAGACCCAGTATGCCCACAATAAGCAACAGCTCCGGTTTATGTATCGGCTCCTGCTCGATGAACCTATTGGAGAAAGTTGAAAAGTAAGTTGTGGGAGGAATAACATTTAGTTTAAACTTAACAGACTTGAGCTCTGTTAAGCCGACAACTGTAAGCAAATGGCGTGCTGTTGTTTATATTCAAATAATAATCGATTCACTTGTAACGAAGTAAGTCTTAATAAATAATGTTTTACATTTGTATATTTAGAGACTCTGATGAACGTAATGAGAACGCATTGAACGTAATGTTTACATTTAATATCCAGTTCTATTGATAAGCGCGGGCGTGTGCCATATCTTGGATTACCTTGTTATTGACAGAACAACATAAAGGAAAGTGAGAACATTTGTTAAGGTAAATACTGTTAGCAAATGAGACGCCGTTAACGACATTAATTTGTTCTAATTTGTGTAAATGACATGCAACCAAAGTGGACTGAACTGGTTTAAAATATTTGTAATCTTATTGCAGCGATTCCGGGTCTACTGCGCCCAGCTCCACAGCGCTAATCATAGCTATTTGAAGGCAAAGAAGAAGAGCTGGCACGTTTATACAATCGTCAGGCGTATAAAAACGCGCATCGTAAAGTGGCAAGAAATATGCATGCGGCATGCAAATGGAAACGCTGCGAATAACAAATGGCGAATATCGAAAAACGTAAATTAAAATAAAAGATAACAAAATAAACGACTGACTAACAACAACAACAACAGCAACAATAAATAAAATAAACAAAAACAAATTCAAGAAAATGTGAGCACACGAAACGGTGACAAGGCGAAACGTTCGGAATTGCGCGCTGGGTGTGCGAAGGCGTTGACCACGACAGCAGCTACACACACACACACACACACACACACACACACACTTAGAGAGAGACACACACAGGTACGTAATGGCACAGGTGCCTCACCTTTTGCAAGCCTCAATCGTGATGCTGAAGCAGAGCGCGACCAGAAACACCGCATTGACCAGAGCGCCCAGGACCTCGGCGCGCGCCCAGCCGAATGTGTTCTTTGACCATTTTTTGGGTGACATCTGTTTTGGATTGAGAATATGCATTAGTTATAGACACAATCAAAGCATATAGCAAAATATAGTGCGCACCTTAACTGACAGAAATGATATGACCAGGGCAGCTATATCGCCCAGCATGTGAAAGCTGTCCGCGACGAGAGCCATCGAATTGGTCACATAGCCGACTATGATTTCCACAAAGAAGAAGAACGCCGTCAGCCACATCATCGAGAGGAGGCGGCATTTTTTGCCCGAATATTTGGACATCTTGGAGAAACTGAAAGCAAGAAACGTACATTCAAATTTGCACAGGCATTTTGGAAGACGCCGAAGATATTTCGGGTAAATATATATATATATATATAAATTACTTAATATAGCTACAATAACTAGATTAGTATATATGCAGCGTGTATATGCTTAATCTTTGACTATATAGTTGCTTTCATTAAGTTTTATTTTACGTTCATTCACCTTTCGATTCAAAATTCGATTGAATTGTTTCTTCGGAAAATCGTTTGGCAACAAATTTGTTTGGCAAACAAATTAACAACAAATTGAATGCATTCAGTTGTCACAAGAACAAAAATAGAATAAAACTTTTACCTGAGATTTAATTGAATGAAAATGTAGATAAAATGGGAAAACAATTTAGGCAACGCTTGAATGCGCCCTGCAAATGGGCTTGGCCTGTTCCTGGCCTGTTTTTTGTTTTTAATGCTTGACTAGAGCTGGGGGCAGCTCTTTGGGCTCCGATTGATTGATTTGGGTAAACTTACGCAAAGAACTTCATTTGGGTGCAGGATTTCTGGAAGCACAGAAGCTGCCGCTGCCGCTGCGTTGGCTCTGCGTGTGGCTTATAGACTGTTATGTGCAAGCTTCAATTGTATGTATTATATATAGATATATATAATATATTATTACTAAGAAGCGGGCGTTGCAGCAGCAGCAGTTTTTTTTTTTTTTTTTTGTGTAAACATATACAAAAATTATACAAAACAATTTCAACTGAAACGAATGAAATACAAAGAACCCCGCGCGCACAGACGACAATAAACTTGTCGTCAAGCGGCAGGGTAACTCGGAGAGGGGTAGAGCTGGGGGTGGGTGGGGCTTGGCGTTGTGGAGGCAGGGCAAGGGCTGAAGCAGCAGGCTAGTTGTTTTTGTGCTGGTAGCTAAGAAAACAATTTGCGATCAGCCGTTGACTAAGCAACCAAACAAAGCAAGCAAAAGTGGATTCTGGCCGGCAGTAATCGACTGGCAGATACCCTGTACTTCAGTTGAGCTTTCCTTACGCGATGGAAGTTTCTGCCTGTGGTCCCTATTTATATGTCGACATTTCCTACTAACTTGACTAGTTAAAGGGAATAGTTTCAGCGCCCAAATCTGACACACACAGGGGTTTTTATAAATAAAGAAAGCTACTCCAAATAACTGACAAACATTTGCACAAGTAGGAAAACAATATACCCCTTTACCCAGTCTTTAATTTGCAGGCAAGCATTTGGGCAATGCATCATCTGCTGCACGCCAAAAAAAAAAAATACAAAATCCCCAACAACTAAAATTGATTTTACAATCTGCTCCGTAGTTTTTGCCCCGTCTTGTATCGGATTATCTCGGCACACGAGACGCGAAAAAAATATGTTAACTATTTTTAGTTGTTGTCTGATACATGCGATAGAACAATGAGTAACTCTTATCGCGTCTAATATTTGCTTTTATCGTGTTATCAGTTGGTGCTAAACGAGTAGATAAAAATCTGAAGTAGACAGCGCAGGCATTGCTAATGTTAGGCTTGTGCGCCGAAAAAAAGCTTAGTGAATGAACGAAGCTTAAATACACTTACTTATATAAGACATAATAGTGTATATATATATAGTATATTCCCCATTCAAGGCGCAGCCAGTTATCTGTTTGCTATGTTCATAAATCTCGCCGTTTTATCAACCTGACAACTTGCCTTTCGTTCAAAGCTTAAACTTGTTGCGAATTTTAACTCATCAAGAGCCCAGCCATTGCTAAAAGAGCTAACTGAAATGAACGATGTCTCTTAGATATAATCTAAGGAATACAACCAGAACCAGATATAAAACCCAACAAAGCTGAGCATAGTTTCTGTTTAGCCTGTTTAAGTACCTCGAGGTTCTATCAACACGATATTGCCCACAGCTTGCCATTAGCTCAAAGCTTAAACTTGTTGCGAATTTTAATACAACAAGCTACGATAGTGGGGCATAAATATAGTATTTGATTTGATAGTATACAGTTTAAGATCATAGTCTACGTATAAGCTTTTTAATATCAATAGTTTCTACATAAAAAATGTAGTATCTATATATAAGCTTCATAATATCCACAGCTATTGAAAAACTCAGATCTTTCAAGTGTCAAGCCAGCGTATAGACCTGTCGGCAGGCATATAAGCCCTACAGGCTAGTTGTGTCTGCATAAATTCATGACGCGTGATATATGAACATGATAATACCCTTTTGAAGAGTAACCGCAGGCAATTGCTTATCGGGTTCTGTTGGGTTGGTTGGTTGGAAACTGCGGAAAACTGCCAGTGGAGATTAGGCATACATAATTACTAAAATAAAAAAAAAACAATGTGATTACAATGTTGCCAGGCTAATTGTGCGATAAGTATGCTATTGTTATATATTTATAGATATATCCATATGTAAATATACATGTGCAAATATGTAAAGGTTAAAAAAAACTTTGATTTGCTTTAATATAAATTAGTCTCTAAGGTTCGTATTACTTAACAAAGTTGGCTCAGATTAATCAGATGAAAACTTTGTTTCTTCTTTAAAAAAGCTTGCACTTAAAGCATATTACTGTTGAGCATGCCCAGCTATGATATACCCCGTATAATGTTATAATGCATATAACTTTTTCGATTAGAGTTTAGTTTAGAGAAGCCAAGAGTTCAATTTCTCTAAGTCTCTCAAAGTTTTAAACTCCTTAAAAATAAACTATATAAATATATGCACAGAGTAAAAGAGAGCGAGAAATCGGTGTTGATATAGACAGATTTTTTGTGGTTTCACAGCCTGTGACATCGATTGGCTATAGATTTGAACACTTTCATTTTCAGCTATTGTTCAACGCAATATTTAACTATATTAAGTTATCACTAAGGTAATGGCAAGCAGCTCTCACCTGCGCCTTGGACCTGCGAGGGTCCAACGGACATGGCTTTAACTGATAGCACCAGTCTGTTAAGCCTTTGAGCCACTGTCCGATAGCGACGCTGACAAAATATTCGATGCGGACGTGTCTGGCAAGCCAAAAAGGGGTAGCTCAACTAGCCGACGATCAACGGGCAGCAACATGGCCAAGTTAACAGAGAGAAGACAGCTAAACACCCTAAGCCAAAGTAGAAAGAGCGGGCTGAGGGGGGAGCAGGGGAAAGGGCAGCTACTACTAACACATTTAGTGTGGCGTCCATTGATGAAATCGACATTTCACATACTTAGCTCTCGCATTCGACTTCATGGTTATGTCAGAGCCCAAACGAATGAGCTATTTTTTTGTTTTTATTTGTTGGCACGTGATTGTTTTAACCAAACACGAAATGTTCAGAATCGGAGCTTCAGAAACACATGTAATATGCGTATAATAGAAAAATAGTAATTACTAAATTCAAACTGCACTTGACCATGGCCAAAAACGTAGCCCTCAAGTGTCAGCCACGTGCTGCCAGCTAAATTGTAACATTCCGATAAATATATATATATATATACTATATAGTATAGCTAGTCAAATCCAATGTCATTTCGAAGCGCTCATATTTATTATTTTTATGAATTTCCGGCTGCACTGCGCTTTGTTTGGCTAAGCACAAGGATAAATTCGTTCGAAATACGTTTTTATGCCCTTTCCAGTGGGTACTTTAGTTATGTCATTGAGCTAAGTTAGCATTTGCGAGCTTTGATTTGCTTCGAACTACTTTAATAAATAATATTATATATGTATGTGTATATGTGTGTATGTGTGTATGTATGTATGTGGGCGTGTGTGTTAGTGTTTCCATGCATGTATGAATGCATTTATGTATATATGTATGAATGCGTGTTTGTTTTCTAAGACCAAACTTATTTTTCGCTGTGCTGCAAATTTAAATAAAACGTATTTTTACCAAGTGCTCTACTCCTCGATTCTCAAGAATTTAAGTAGGCTCTGTAGTTTTCATGCTTAGCTAGAAGTGTTGTGCCTTTTTTTTTTTTTTTTTTTGGTATTTTTGCGGTTTGTACATAACTATTTACGTATATTTGTATGTGTGTGTGTGCATGTATGTATGTATGCATGTATGTATGTATGTATGCATGTATGTATGTATGTATGCATGTATGTATGTATGTATGCATGCATGTATGTATGCATGTATGTATGTATGCATGTATGTATGTATGTATGTATGCATGTATGTATGTATGCATGCATGTTTGCATATATGCAAACAAACATGCATACATATATATATGTACAAACATACATGTATATATAAGGAGACATGCACAATAATATATGTATGCATGCACATATTTATATGTACAAAAATGCTTACAGACATACATGCATGTAAAAATGAGTAGGTATGTACACATGTATTTGTGCATGTACGTAGATATCCTACATGTATTCATACATGTACGAATGCATGCACGCATGTACGAATGCATGCACGCATGTACGAATGCATGCACGCATGTACGAATGCATGCACGCATGTACGAATGCATGCACGCACGTACAAATGCATGCATGCATGTTTACATATGTATATACAAAACAAACATGCATACATGTATGTACAAATATATATGCAAACCCAAAACAGCTCAACAAATCTGTGAATCGAATTTCAACCGAGGAATCTTTAAAAATGAGCTAAAGGTCGATCGGATGGTAGACAAAAAGGTTGCATACAAACGTTTTTCGCAATTTTTCCACACATGCGGGTGGAATTTTCCTACAGTGAAAAGTTCTGCTTCCTAGCTAACACATGCCCTTTGTACTGAAAGTATTGATAATCGTAGATATTTTCACATTCAGATTACGGGCTAAACTTGATATCCACCTGAAGTTGTCATCTGCCAAAACATGGTTAGATGAATGTAAAGGTTGTTTCTGCTTTAAGACTGAGTCCTCCTCAAACGTTTTCATTTAGATAGAGAGTTCCGGGTTTGAATTAAACTCGGTATTTAATGTGTATATATTTTTATATATGTATGTGTACTTCAATCTATAGCTATACAAATAAATATCTGTAGCACGTGATGTGCCTACGCATTTATTACGACAATTAAACATGCAGAGCACATGCAAATGCTGCACACACACATTTGCATATGCTCATACATGTAAAACACACACACACACACACGCACATCTGTGATTTAAGCCGAGCCGCGCCGGGTCACAATTGGGTTACAATATTCTAGGTCATGTTGCTTAATTGGCCGCTCTGCATTTGCATGTGTGTGTGTATGTGTGTTTGTGTGTGTGCATGTGTGTTTGTATGCGTTAACTGACTTTCGTACATGTTGAACTTTTGGCATATGCCATGTTGACTTTATGCCCTTTAGACACTGCCTCCGCCCGCCCCTATCCCTTCGTATTTATTGTGGCAACATTTGATATGCCTCTTGGCAACCTGACCAGCATAATCTGCTCTGCGATAAGAACTGTTTTTTTTTGTTTTTTTGTTTTTGGGTTTGTAGAGCTCAAGACATGACCTATAAAAAATCAGTTGATTTGGCTTTATCAACGGATTGCGCCTCGATGCTGGTTTGATAAGTAATTAAGAAGCAGCATTATCTATATATATAAGTATAGAATGTTATTAAGTAAGGATTCTAGATGATATAATTATTGGCAATTGATTATAATTGTATACGGATAATCTATAAGATCGCTAAAACCAGCATTATATATAATCTATCATATTATCATTGAGTATTGTTTAGTTGTAAGTGAGCAAACTAATGTATCAGCAAGTCAAGTGACCATGGAGGACATTTAATATTTAAAGTACGCCTGTTGACTCTATATAAATCTGATAGATACATATACTGAACTGAATAGAATATTTAGCTAATCGAAGGTCTTGATAACTGATAACAGAGCAAACAAAGTGAACATAGATCCACAAATGATTGTTAGATACGAATACTGACCATGGGGACCACACATAAATATACACCCTTTGTTATATTTTATAGACCATAAAGCACCTCGTATACGTGTAATAAACCTATGCAACTATTAATAGGATGCATTCGTTAGGATCTAAGGAACCATGGAGGACTCCTTAAACGTGTAAAGCACCATGTAGGACACATACATAATGCATTTGTTATGTTCAAGAGATCATGAAGGATTACATTTGATATGCTTCCAAGTGACCATGGAGGGCATTTATACGCTGCTTAATAGTATTACAGGCCAGTGCAAGCTAGGATCAGTTATTAGGGATTATAATATAATAGAACGGAGACGCAACGAGCTGGAAACCAAAGCCCTTTCGTTTAATTTGACTGCAAATCCTGCTGCCACTCCAATAAATCGTTTGCTCGTGCAACATATTTGGTGTGCTGCCAGGGCAATAAGCTGGCACGACAATAAAAAGCGAATCAAATAATTACTTTAATTACAAAATTGCAAAATTACAAACCAACAGTGGCGGAAATTGTGCCGCCAACAATACTTTTTTATATACAATTTTTCTTCTTTTTTTTTTACAAAAACAAAAAGCAAAGAAGCGCCATCAACTACGCGGCTGACAATTAACCCGTTTTTCCTTCGCTGCAGCGCGGAAAAGCGCAAAAGGCTCACAAAAAAAAAATATACATATATATATATGGGAGACAACTGAAGAGTGGCGAAAGGAAGGGAGTGGGGTGTTGCACAAAAGTGGGGCAGGTAAATGAGTTTTGATTTATTTATGCAAATTCTGTGTTGCAGGCACAAAGCGAGAGAGAGAGAGAGAGAGAGGGATGTATGGTAGGGGGGTACAAGCGGGCGTGGCATTGGATGAATACACAATCAAACCTGCTGACCCAATTCGCACTAGAGTAGCCAAATGGTTCCCGTCAACAGCAACAACTCATTGCAATGACAGCCAAAAGCTTGCAAGTTGCAACGACACTTGTATCATATATACACATATCTTTGTACATCCTTCTTATAAGTCAAGGTTCTGATTCTCCATAGAATTGGAAGATATGTAAGGACCCAAACAGTTTACAGATTGTGCTGACAATATCTGTTAACAATAGCTGTTAGCAATAGCTGTTAGCAATAGCTTTTAACACTAGCTGTTAAGAAAAGCTGTTAGCACAAGCTGTTAGCAACAGCTTTTAACAATAGAACCAAGTATGCTTTACATTCGAAAAACTTTACCAGCTGTGCTGAGAATTTCTGAAAATAACTTATTTTTACTTACTGCTCTACTATGCGATTCTCATGAACTCAATCTTTAAAGGTTTTCATGTTTTGGTTATAATATATTCATATTTATTTTCACATAAACAAAGTTGTGGTATCAATTAATGGTTATACTCTCACCTCTCTCTCTCCCCCTCTCTTGTATTCCTCTTTCTTCTAATCCGCTGTCTACTTACTTTGTTATTTCAGAGATGAAAGCAAATAGCAATAAACGAAACACACTGGGGATTAGTTATTTCTGGATGCACATTTGTGGGTAAGTATACGTTTAAATTAATTAATATTATAAGTTAGGACATAAGTAAGACCACACTTTCGAGACTTTCACTTTATTTTATGGGAGCTGCTCGAGAACTAATGTGAATATTATCAGAGTCTGATTAGCTGGCGCTTATCTGGTGAAACTAATTGCGTGTAATACCGAGCTGTGCGAAAGGAAACCTAACCCAGTTAGTTTTGTCATAAATCTACACTCGTTTATGGTCGCTGGCAAACATAACCCAGTTCTAGTTTCACGTAGAGAGCGCTGATTATTGGGTTCGGGGTCTATACATATGTGTTTACCTACATCCAATCAAATGTTGGCCCCAGACGAATCGGTCGTATCAAATATTTAAGTAGCGCCAATATTTATGAGCAAAGCGAAACAGATTTATAAATAAACGAAATCATATTTGCCGCCAAATTTAATTAACACGTATTGATTTTTTTGCACTCGATGTCACTCAATTATATTGGAATAATTGACAAAGCAGAAAAAGCCACAAAGGGGCTTGAATATGGAGCATGACCTTTAAAGAGAGCTCCCACAAATGTCACGCGGCGCAGCATCCGAGAATGTTAACTAATGAAAATTAAGCAAAGTCAACGAATTGGAAAGAGCTTTAGTTAGATTTTAAAGAAATTCTCTGGAAAGGAAAAGGCACAAAGATCAAATTATGGATGATAATGGACAAAGCTAAACAAGTTGAAGAGCAAGAACAAAGCTTAAGCTCAAGCAGTTGAATTAATAGATAAAACATTAAAATGTTTATTCAACTATGGAATTAATCTGAAAAGAATATTTACTCCAGACTCGACTGTTCGAGAATCTATATACTTTATGGGATCGCAGATATCTTCAATTCCAACCCACATACGAAACAAAAAGGAAGCTAGCGTAAATCACACGCTATAAAAGTTACCCACAACCAGAATTAAATCGTTAAGTGAGTCAGAATTATTTCTGATAAAGAGTCATGCTTACGATAATGACTAAGATGCCGAGGGACTGAGCTTCGATCGGATGTGCCAAGCAGAACCGGTTGCTGAAGCCGGCACAAGTACACAAAAAAAAAAAAAAAAAAAAAACGGCAGGAAAAACAAATCCAACAAGATGCCCGCCCTGCTCAGGTAAATACATATGTAGATAAGCTGGAAGGGGTGGGCCTTTGCGGGGAAAACAAGCGGCTGGCGAGTAGTTTTTCACGAATGTCAACAACTATTGAGACGCATGGAAAATGCCTCATATGGGCCTGTCTACCTGTGCCCAAATGGGCGTGTGCGCGCAGTTCGCTGACCCAATAAAACAACAACAACAGCAACAGCAAGTGCTTGAAAGGGCGTGCGGGTCGAGACATGTTCGCACAGGTTTCCTTTGACTTGGCTCGTTTTGGCATTTGTATTAGTTCTTTGTGTGTATTTGTGTTTTGTCAACAAACATGTGCTGAGAAGTGTTGCCCAAGTTTACGAAACCTGCTAGTTCAAAGGCTAACTCCAATAGTTCTTAATCTAGCTATTAAAAAGCTAAAAAGCCATAAATAAAACCCAAATTGGCCACGTTAAAGGAACTTGAAATAAAGTTGGCTTAAAGGCTAAATCGAATAGTTCTTAAGCTAGCTATTAAAAAGCTAAAAAGCCATAAGCAAAATACGAATGGGCAGCACTGTTAGCTTTGCACATCAATTTCACGATTTTGATTTCATTCCGATTCTTTGTGTGAGTGAGAGAGGGGGAGGCTAGGAATAGACAGCGGGCGAGTGAGTGAACTTACCGAACTTTAAAAGCTGCCGGCACCTTTTCTTTATTTTTTTTTTGTTAATCTGTTCAATTGCTGAGGTTCAGCGCGACTGTTAATGTCCGACGACGTTGGCCGCAGGAAGAGCGGCTGTGATTTAGATCTATGAACACAAAGTGTAATTGCTTATTTATGACATGGTTTGCACTCTTAAAGTCTTCGGCAAAATTCATTGCGACACAATAGGGCTGCCGTTTCGTATGTGTGTGTGTGTGTGTGTGCGTGTGGCGCTCTCGACATATACATGCACACATGCATATACATGTGCAGCTATGATAAAAACAAAGCGAGAGCCGATAAGTTGACGTCGATAAGTAATTTGTAACGCGTGCAAAAAGTTGGTGCTTCAGCAAAACTAAATACAAATCTATAAACAATGTGCAGATTTAAGAGAAATATGTGCGGTGTGCAGTTATCTTGTTAAATAGCACGCTACACTCAAAATTCCTGCACTCTTTTGGACTGGTGGGTGGCGCACGGCACGCCTGATTTATGTGCAACACATATACATACATGCATGCATATGTATGTATGTATGTATATATTGTTAACAGTGAACAACTTAATGACATCGCTACACGTTAACACACACACACACATACACACACACGACACGCTCACAGTGAGCAATACACCCAGCATTTTGGACAACATTCGCCAGCAAATTAACACTTCTGCACTCAGCACGTGCACTTGCCAATATGTGTCAATTGCTTTTATTTCAAACTTCGCATTACCAATTTTTTATTTATTTATTTTATTTTGCTTCCGACACTGAACTGCGAGCACCCTGCACTTGCGACTTTATTAAAATTTTCAAGACGACTAACTGCGCTGACCGAAACTGCCAAAGCCGAAAATACCAGCTACTTTCAGCAGTGTGACCAAACTTGATTTTTGTTAAAGCATGCTATGTGATGCCTGCAGTAATGATTTACGGCTGTTCAGCGATATATCGATATATTTGGTAAGCATTCGTGACTGAACATGTCGAGTGCAACGGACGCACCAAAATAGCGAGCAACGAGTGCGACAAAAGTATAAAATGAAAAAAAAAAATGAACAGTAGAAGAAAGTCACCAACTAAATTCAAGATAGCATTATATCTTTGGCTTCGCATCTGCAGTATATATTGTCACAGCAGAGTTACAAAAGGCTAATCCAAACGTTCAAAACTTGATCATTTAATTTTTAAAAACTAATTTACCTGAATATTCTGTAGGCAGCTATTTAGATCGCGTTAAAATGAAGACCGACTGATCAAGAATTTATATATGTATACACATATTATCGATTTGAAGTGCCATAAACATACAATAAAATCAAAGTAATTTACGAATTACCGTAGAACATAGAAACTTCGAGTTAAATCAGCCATATTATGTGCGCTAACCGGGTATACATAACGATACAATTTCGTTTGAAAGCTCAGAATTGAACGGACCATGAAATCTATAAGCCAAATACACAATTTGTATTAAGATTAAGAATATTCATTAGGTACTAAACACATTCATATACACTGATCCATATGCTATGCACAATTCAGACATTTTCAGGGAAACACCCTACTTTGACACTAAAAGTTCATGACTGTACTCGTTACTTTACGAGTAGCGAGTAACCAGCGCGGGCAATTTAAATTCGGAATAAAAGTACATAACGTATTTTCAGATCCAGTTCAGGGCGCGAGTCGTGTTTTCTTTGGTCATTCAAGCAAAAAAATGTTTAAGCAACAAATTTAATCATTTTTAACTTGATAACTGATAATCATATCGAAATCAACAAATAATTCAATGTAAATAGAAGCTTGAAGGGAACATTTATATAGAATAAACTGGATATATTTATTTTCTGGAGGGTTTTCAAATTGTAGCTCTCCTGCGAAAACTAATGCTTGGTTTATTTATTTTTGTCAAAATTCTGTCGTTCAGATATAAGGGAATTAAACCAGTTGAATATCCCGCCGATTCCATTAAATACTCATAATAATTCTCTTTTGTACTTAAGCACTATAAACTTTATTAAAATATATTTATATAAATTGCTTGCGCTTATAAATAAAATTTTACGCTTGGAGTTAAAACAACATGTTGGTATTATGCATGTCTGCTTACGTTCTAAGACAAATAAATATATGTATGTTTGCATATATATATATATTATGCAGATATTTTTCATTTAAACGCTTACGCGTGCGTTCTAGAATCTACAAAGAATTGAGCAACAATTTGCATGAAAAGCGAAAACATTTAAAGTACACAGTTTATGCAAATTATCATTTAGTTATATACTAGCTTTGATTGAGACAGTGATGAGAGAGAGTATAGGAGAAAGGGGGAGAGTGTTGGATTTGGGGCATGAGTTGAGCATGCCACCAAAAATGCATGCGTGCAACTGCCGCCTTGGCCTAGCTCTCCCAGACTTCGTCGCGCTGTTTGGCAGCTAAAAGTTTCCGTTCTGTGTAGCAAAAAGACAAGGATAAATAAATAGTTCGGATGATTAAAGGGAGTCTTAAATACACACCTTTGGCTTCGCGTAGCACACGCCTTTCGTTCTCCCGCTCCTCCGGTGCTGTGGGCAGCTTAACACCCAAAGCGCCGGATACCAATCGACGCGCCAGCGCCGTACAAGTCTCTGGTCGTTGGCGATATGGCTGCAACGAGGTGGCACCCGCCTTTTTTGCCTTAAGACGTGATTCCAGGGTGGCCTCGGCTAGGGGTTTCAATTTGACAAATGGATGGCCCATGGTCAGTACCTCAGCAGCTGTCAAATGTCGATGCGTTAGATATACATTGAAATGGACAGGAATCGTGCTACTCACCAATGCGAGAGCTGCTAAAGACGGCCAGAGCATGTGTATCATCCACCCACTTGATGTCGAAGCCGGCGCTTTTGTACTGTGAGAAAAGCATTAGCAAATCCGGAGTCTTGAATTCAACAGGAAAATTCGAGATTTCCAGCACATGCGGAAACTCCTCCTCATTCAAAAGTGATTGTTTTATATGGTAGACCTGGCGCAAACAGTAAACAAGCAAATAATTAATACAGTCTGTAGCAATAAAGGGCAGCATTTACTCACGCTATAGTCCATTTTGGGCAGTTCGATTTTGCACTTGCCCACCGATTCGGTGAGCTCTTGCAGAATTTTTGGATTCAGACAGTCGCCGTTCTCATCAAACATATTCTCCCAATCATCTTCGTTTTCCTCATCATCATCCTCGGTGGTGCTGTCGGCAGGTAGTGTAATGGATGCCTGGGTTGCCGTTGTGGCAGCCGTAGCTGTTGCGGCAGCAGCGATGCTGTTCTTGGGCGATCCTTCAATCATTTCGGGTATCTCTAGCACGTCCGACACAAAGGTCTGCTTCATAATGCGACGGTTGCTACGATTGATTTCCTACACGAAAATACAATTAATTAAAGTTTATATAAAATATAAATAAATAAAGTAAGTCTACCTTAGAGGCTCGCTGCAGCTCGCGCACATCGTTATCACATTTGTTGGCATCCTCAGTCGTTGGCGCATTGTGGGCTCTCGGCAGCGCCGCATCCTCGATGCGCAGCGAATGCTGTTGCTGTTTGCCATTGCTGTGGCTTTTGCCCGTCTTTGTCCGCTGGGCGCCGCCCATTGTCTGCAAATGGGAATGGATTAGCTAGCTGGGCGACAATAATATTAAGCATTGGCTAAGCACCTCCTTATCACAGTTGCTATCCGGCGGTGGTGCTGACGTTGTAACCTGGTTGTTGGCTTGGTTTTCGCTAGGCGCAATCACAAGCAGCGTATCTGGCTCAATTGTTTTGCCAACTGTTTTCTTGGCTCGCTCTCTGCGCGATCTCGACTTCTTGGGTTTTGCCTGATTACCGTTGCCGTCGTCTGGCTTTGACGAGTTTGTATTTACAACTGGCATATCCAATGGCTGAGGCAGCTGTTGTGGATTGCACGTAGCCGATGTTGGCGCTGCCACTACTGCTCCGCTGGGCGTCGGCGTCGGCATCGGCATCGGTGCTGGCATTGTTGTTGTTGTTGTTGTTGTTGTTGGCGGCGTTGTCTGACTGCGTCGTGCCCTTGGCACATAAACGGCACGATCGGGACGTCGTTCACGGCGCGTTGCTGCTGCAGCAGCGCTAGCTTGTTGCTCTCTGCGAAACATATGATCAAAACAGAAGCGACAAAAAATCGAAAGGTGCGCGATTAACACAACAGAATTTCGTAAAAACAGTTAAACCGTGCAAGCGCCTTACAAAGAATTGCAAAACAAAAATGCAATTATCAATTATCAAAACTTGATTATAAATAACGTTTGCAAACACTAAATTGATTTATGAACATATACAATTTATGTTTACTTTGTGCACAGATGCTTAGGCTGCTAGGTTTTTAATTTATGATCGTTATATTCGTGTCTACCCACCTTGATGGCGATGCCTTGCGAGCGGCTGAGGTAGTTGTCGATATAATTGATGTTGTTGTTGTTGTTGTTGCTGCTGCAGACTCTGCAAGGGTTTCGTTCGTTGCAGCTGGTGCTGATGCGTCCTCGCTGCTGTTGTGTCTGAGCGCGGGTGGCCTGTAGAGATCCACAGAGTTCGATTTACTTACTGAGTGCGCAAAAAGAGCAAAGAGAAAGGAATACAAAATAAGAAACATTAGCAAATGTTAACAGGCATATATCAGGTGTAGCAACGCGTTTGGCAAAAGGCATGTACAAACATACACACACATTTAAAATCCACTAATGTTGACCCAATTTTACGTTGATTCGCTTTGTGCGCTGCTTCGTGAATGTCAACACGGTTCGCTCAGACGAGGCGCAACAAGTGAGCGAGCGCGCGTGCGAGTGAGCGAGAGAGCAGGCATACAAGAGCTGAGAGCGGAGAGTGTGATGCAACCAAAAAGCTGCTCGCGAAAGAGGGCGACCTTGAATAAGCTGCGTGACCCGAACAAACAAACGAACTGGCGCCCCTACGTTCGCCGGCGTGTTTGGCTTTATTTTTAGTCGTTTGCACATACATAATTAATGGGTTTTTTTGTTAATTTTTTTTTATATATTTTTTTTTTGCACTTTATCTTTGTTTTTGCTTTGTTTTTTTGCAAATATTTTTAAGCTTGCCAACTTTGTATGCATATGGGTATGTTATATATGTATGTACATTTAAGTCGTGGTATTCCGTCAGGTGCGTCCATTTATTTATTTAACAATAATAAAAAAAAAACCTGTAACAAATAATAATGAAATATCACAGTGATATTTTACAACATTGCTGTTTAGAATTCAATTACTAATTTTCCTAGATATTAGCAACAATTGAATATACGGAATACCACTATTATCTTATCTTCATACCACTACTTACAAGGTGTTTCGCTGATATGCTTCTTAACGCCCATTTTACACAGTTCCGTTACGCGTTTTCTGCTGGCGCTGCTACTTCTACCGTTGCTTCGCCAGCTCTTTACTGGCTGTTGCTGTTGCTGCTGTTGTTGCTGTTCCTGTTTACGGCTGTCAACAACAGTTAGATTGTTAGCTTAAGCTGTATTAGTATGGGTGCGCTACTCACGCCTCGAATCCGTGCGGATCAATAAGCTGATTTCGAAAACAGACGACTGTGCGTCGATGCGGGCCTTGACCCACGGAAAACGTCAAAAGATCGTATTGCTGCCGATAGTTCTCACATGTTTGATGTATGAGATAACGGCGATAATTGTTCACAGGTGGAAAGAGCAGCACTCTGGAAAATAAAGAGGCCAAATCATGTTAGCTTCGTGAGTACTGAGCGATATATGCGATGAATGTCTCTGTGTGTGTGTGTGTGTGTGTGTGTCACTCTTTCGCTCACTTTGTTCCGCTCTATCTCTTTCTGACTTTACTGCTAACAGGTTGTTAAGAGCTTGAGAAGACAAGCAAGAAGAAGCACGCAAAGCCAGACTTGTAAATGATTTCTTACGCAACAGACACAACCGCGCAATGTAATAATAACGTGCATCTAATAAAAATAATAATAACAGCAATAGCATATAAAATACACCAACATACAAATATTACACGAACAAGCTGCTAAGGTTTGCGCGTCGATGTTGTTGATTGCACGGCAATTAATTGTTTATTAAACGCGTCGTGCATTTTAAACGGCACAAAAACCGTGTTACCAGCTCCAAACGCAAACGATGCAATGCGGAAAGCAAAGTTGCATGCAACGTTACCGATGTTGTTGTTGTTTTTGTTGCTGTTGTTGTTGTTGTGGGGCAGCTGGGAAAACTCGAAATTGTGGCATTTGCAAACCGGTAGTATTGCATCGAGGCCCCACAATTTGCAGGCATACATTTCAGTGCATTGTTGTTGTTGCACATTTCCGCGTTGTTACAGACACAATTGGGGAAAGAGCTGGGGCAGGGTTGGATATCAGGAGTCTAGTGTCACACACGGAGTTGTATTATTTTTGTTGATTATGTTGCTGCTGGCGCGCAACCAGCTGCTGCCGTACACGACCGAAGCCTATTCACACCACAGACACAATGGCACGCACACACGTTCGCATGTATACATAATATACACCCACACATGTTCGTGTGTCAGAGAAGTTCTAAGAGCTCTTACCCACTGCTCAGGCGCTTTTTTAAAAACAATTCAATATCGATTCCAACATTATAAACAAATTCCTGATCGATCAAGCTTAAACTAGCTGTGAACGTGGTTTTTCGTTCGCCGTTCTCCAGCTTTTTATTAAATATGCGACAATGTCGCCACACATAAATACAGTTTAGAACTTTTTTCACGTTTCACGAAGGCAGTGTGTCCACATCAACTGATTATTTATGCATCGTTCATCGATATAGACTATCTGTAAGGGGTTTGATACGATAGTATTGTCGCGATACTTACAGATATGAAATCAACTATCGATAGCTGTGCAACAAATAACAAGCTAGCCAAAATGTGCTAAAAATCCCTAAAAATCAAGGAAATAATTTAACATTTTCAATTTAACTCGTTTAACCATGCATTTTTCATTGGCTTGCAGCTTAACTCCGTGGTAAGCAACGTCATTTCGTCCCTATACTCCTAAGGTCAATCACAGAGTTTCTCGTACAACTGGATAAGTCAACACATAGCTTATATAATTTCAAATAAATGCATACACATTTAGCACAAAAGTGCAGTACACATGCACTTTCCATGCAAACAAAAAACGTAAACAAAAATCAGCTGTGTGAGATCTATTTGCAATGAACTAGTTATCGAGCCTAATCGGGAAAAATCGTTTAAGGCTATCGTCGAAAACATCGATAGTAATAAATCGCAAAGCAAAAAATTTTTTGGAAAGTGCGAATTGCGAACAACGGTAATACGCAAAGTTGTTTGTTTGTCTGTAGGTTTTTTTAATTTTTATTTTTGGGACAAGTGCAAAAATTATTTGTTTATGGTTTTGTCAAAATCTTAAGTGTGTTAAATTAAAAAAAAATAGCAGCTGAGCTCAAGGTTGCAGCAATAGCAACAACAATAGAATACGAACGCGTCTTTAAGAGTGTGGGGGTGAAAAGCAGACAACGACAACTGTGCCATTGGCATAGAAAATTTTGCATATACATACATACAAGGCGACCAAAAGGGTCACACACACACACACATTTACGCTGATTTGAACTTTTAACAATCATATAATTGCAGACTAAACTGATACAGGGCCAGGGACGTTGACGTCGACGCCATCGTCGTTTTAATTGGAAAGTGCCAAAAAAAATAGAAAAAAATAAACGCCAGCGTACAACGGTAATAGCAATAAATACTCTCACACACACATACATATATGCACACACACGCACGCACACATGGAGGCGTCTGTTTGATGTACAATTTGGAGCAACGAACAAAAGACAGACAAACAAATTATGACGACGCGCGAAAATGTTGCCAGCCGTTTGTCCAAATTGATGCTCAGCAATGCCAGCAGCAACAGTAACGGCAGCAGCAACACAACAGCAGCCACTGCGTCAACCATGTCCATGGTGCAGTCTCCGACGTCGCCTGGCGAACAATCAGAGCTGAATCAATTGAAACGCGATGCGGATCCGCAGTTCTCACGCTTTGCCGATTACTTTGTGATATGTGGCTTGGATTTGGACACGGGCCTGGAGCCGGATCGCTTTGCAGGTGAGGCCACGTCTTCAGATAGTGGAGAAAGCGATCCAATTAACTAATATTTTCCATTATAGGTGATAATCTGCACTGTTCGCCGCTGGATCGCGCCTACAAGAGCAAACCGTTGGCCCACTATCCCGAAAATGTGCCCTGGAATCCATTCGATGCGCACGGCATATGCATGGTAGGTGCAGCAGCCCCTCCGTGCAGCTATCTCCATTCGCTTTGTCTGGGTGAGGTCTTCAATTAAGTTCAATTGCCTGCATGATGCAAGCAATTCTGGCCGCCATAGCCCTCCAATCGGCTCCAACCCATGTGCCCTGCACACACAAATATGAAATTCATGCTTCACTGAATTGATTTGACGCTCATTGATATGACTGCGCGCTGCTTTTAATTGATGCCACATCGACGACGACGACGACGACGACGAAGCCAGCGACGACAGCGCTGCCGATAAGCAAACAGCCACGCGCCGCTTATCATAGAAAAATCTTGACATGTGTTTACTTTTGAGTATTTTAAAATGTCGCTCAATGTATATATACATATTGGGCATCTGTTATAGAAACGTTTTCAAGCCCTGCATTTTATGAACACTCAAAGCCACTTGAGCGCACAAACGATTCCATTGTACGCCATGTCTTGAGGTCTGATCATAATTGATGTTCTAATATGTCCATTAAAAAATAAGCGCTTGGTTACATTTTGTTATGGAATATCTTATAAGTTGATTTGTTTGTTCACTTCTAATCTGTTAATCGTTTTTTTTTTTTTCAGCTGTCGCTGCCGCAGGGTCTGCGCTTTCGCACCCAAAAGCACAACATTGAGCCAAAGTTTCATTCGTTTGCGACAACGCGCGAGGATGGCAAACGTTGTTATGGCTTCAGTCTAGTCTTCTACGAGGAGATACGGAATCGCAACATTTGCGGCGCAATACACACACTGCAGTCCATGTTCATCACGGAGCTATCGAATGGCCAGCAGACGCATTCGTTGAGCAGAATCAAACAGGATGGGCCAGTTAGTCGCTCGCTGCCGCGTCACTTCAAGGTAGCCGGCCAGGCGCCGCAGTCCGCACAAAGCTATTACGACATCAGCAAGGATAAGCTGTATGTGGCCAAAAGCATCTCGCTGATATGCCAGGCGCCATACGCCTTTGCCGCCCAGCTGTTCCTCAAGAATTTGTACCGGTAAATAAATACGATATTATTTTAAATATATATTGAATCCTATCAAAGGTATAGACCTTAGCTGCCTTCATTATCGCCTTGTACTTGAATGTCCTTCATTTTCATATTTATTTTGATTTGAATTTTGCGTATGTTATCAACCATATTTATTATTTTAATATGATCTATGCTAGACTCTGTGATAACACAACTATCTAATCTTGTGCTCGGTTTTTATTTTTAAACAAATATCGATGAGCGTTCAATAACTTTTCGCTATAAGTTAAATATGAGAAGTAGCTTAGCTAATTTTAAAGAATGATCCATTTAAGCTAATATTTGCCATTTTTTTGCAGTTGTCTTCCACGACAGCCAGGCGCTGGCATTAGTCTCGAGTCCTATGTGTACAACATACTGTATGAAGTGATGCTACCTCAGCCGGGCAAGTCCATACGCGTCTATTTGCCGCCCGCTGAGCCGCATTTGCCCGCAATCGCATTGATTCTGCAGCGTCCATCGCTGGCCACCGAGCTGCCGCTGCTGGACTTTCCGTTGCGTCTGCTTTTTAGCTATTTGGGCGTAGAGTGCGTCATTCAGCTGCTGACCTGTGTGCTGCTGGAGAGCCAGGTGCTGCTCCGCTCGACGGGTGAGCCAAAGATTACTTTCGCCTTGATCCACATTTTCATACTAATCTTGCTTACATGTGCAGACTACCAAAGACTCATGATTGTGGGCGAGTGCATAACTTCGCTGCTATTTCCGTTTACCTGGCCGCATGTCTATGCGCCCATTTTGCCCGCGGCACTGCATCATTTTCTGGACGCGCCCGTGCCGTTCGTAATGGGCCTGCATGCCGGATGCGAGGCAGCGCACAAAATTGGCAGCGAGGCTGCATTATGTTTTGTGGACATTGACAAGAAGCACATACAGCTGCCCGAGGAGCTGCCCATATTTCCACACAAGCTGGATTTTATGACCGAGATCATCTCGGTGCTGGACAAGTTCGAAATAGAGCGCGATCGCGCCCAGGAGCCCAGCCTAAAGAATGGCTATGCTTTGCGTGGAGGCGCCGATGCAATGATCTCAAGCTGCACACTGCCCAACGGCCTGCAGGCGGCGCGGCGCTGCAAAGAGCGATTCCCGCAGCTGCAGGAGACCGTCTACACGCTGTCCAGTGCCGGCGGCTCACCGGCACAGCTGCCGGGCGTGGACTATCAGCCGTTGGTGGCGCATCCTTCGAAAATAGATCATGTGCCGCGCATTGCGGATATTCTGCGTCGCAAGGGTGGCATGCGTGCCGCCCAGGGCGGTGGCTGCTCGCCCGTGGGCAGCCCCACGCTGTCGCTGTCCTCGTCGCCGGTGGGCATCTATCATGATGTTGATGCCGTGGATGCCACACTGCCGCCCTCGCGCATGGGCTCGTTGTCGCGGCGCGCTGAGAAGCCGGCTACGCTGTCCGCCGTCGATCAATACTATCAGGATTTGCGCATAAATAACTGTTTACGCGAGATTTTCCTGAATCGTTTCGCGCACATGTTCCATGCGTACGAACACTTTGTCATCTATCCGAATCAGGCCAAGGACGAGTGGCTCTCCAATCGGGAAACGTTGCAGAACTTTGATAAGTCCTCGTTTCTATCCGATCAGCCGGAGCATCATCGCGCCTTTCTATCGCGTTTCCTTGAATCTCAAATGTTCGCCACGCTCATTGACAACAAAATCCTGGCCATGTGGGAGCCGCTACCCGATCAGCAACTGCAGCTTTTCGATCAGCGCATCAAGCTGCTACGGTAGGCAATTCCTGTTTCCCGTCTACTCATGATATATTGATTATACGTCTTATTACTTCACAGACGTCGCCATGGCGAGAACATGATCTGCGCCACCAGCTACGAGCCGTGCGTGCTCAGCCAGGACTCGCAGCAGTGCTTCGAGAAGCGACTCAATTGCGTTGACATTGAGGTAACGCCGCCTAGTGAGATTCTATCCAATCGCGCCGCCTATTTTCGCAGCTTTCCGCTGCTCGAGAAGGGCGTGCTGAATCAGGAGTGCGCCTCGAGGTAGTGTTTTATGCACTTGTATAATTTGCCACCTCCCAAAACCTAAAGCACGCTCCCTTTCCACCTGTTGCACATATTGTTAGCCCCATCATTTTACATTTCCCTCCAGTATGTTGCCACCTTCCCCCTCTGGTCCCTAGCTGAAGCCTCTGATTGTTAGCATATGTATTATGTAGTTTCCGTTTAGACTGTTTAGCCGTCTTCCAGTAGAATTTACTCGTACTACGGTTGCTTTATTTTGTACCTTAATTTATTGATTAACTTTTACTTAAACCAATAAATTGCATATCTCAAAAAAACAAACAACAAACGGTTCGTCAATTGTTGTTAAATTTTTCGTTTCTTTTTTACTTTAAATGCATCTCTTTTTTCTCGTTTTTGCTCTTTGAACCGCATGCGCACACACAAATCCTCGATCCCTGATCCTCCCTGCATTTTGGTTACACTTTTAGTTCCCTCAATTAATCCAAATCTTTATCATATCTTATGTTCTGTTCAAAATTGCACTAAAAAACTTCAATCTCATGCCGCTAACCTTCATAAAATAAAAAACAAAAAACAAAAAAAAAAAAACGAACCAAAAACCAATCCCCAAACAGAGGCAACAGCTTGCGACGCGTCAAGAATGGCAACAAGTGGCGCGCCCGTGAAATCTCGCTGGATCAGAAGCCGGCAAACAGCAGCGGCAATTGCAACTCCAATGTGGCCATCAATCGTCTGTCGGCCAATCTGACAACGGCAGACGTGAGTCCCGCCTTGATAGCACAGGCCAACTGGACATTTGTGGAGCGTCTGCTGAAGGTAACTAGAGTGTTCACACAAGCCCTTGCTCTGCTCCTGCTGTAAATATCTGGCGTTGGCAGGACATTAAGTCGAAGACGAAGCGCATGCTGCTTGAGAAGATGGGCAACGAAGCGGTGGCGCTGGGCCTCAAGGGCGACGGCATTGAGGAGAACACGCTCATAGCGAGCATGTGCGATCTGCTGGAGAAGATTTGGTCGCATGGCCTGCAGAATAAGCAAGGCAAGTCGGCGCTCTGGGCGCACTTGCAGGCCTATCTGGAGCAGCAAGACTCACGCGGAACGGGTTGCAGCGTGGAGCCCGTAACGCCAATTTCCAGCAGTCCCGGCGGCAACAAGATGAACATTGCCAGCGCCTCGCCAGCGTTGGCCTGGAATGCTATGCGCAAGCGCATGGACTGTAAGTATAGTTTTGGAACTTGGCAAGTAACTACTCGTATCTTACATAGCTTTTTCTTTACTTGCTTTACAGACTTGTCCACATTCCAAACGGACTTTGAGAGCCCGCCCAGTCCGAATCGCAGCCGTTCACGGGATCGCAACAAGTTTGTGGGCCTGGAGCAGCTGTGCCCGTTGCCCGAGTCGCTGGAGTTTGATGTCAAGTGGGTTTTTGAAACTGGTCTGGTTGTTTCCGCTTATACTAATAGCTATTCCTTCTCTGTGTCTAGAAACGTGCTGGCCATGGCGGACATCAAAACGCATATTGGTTATACACGCGCCTGGGTGCGTCTGTCGCTGGAGAAGAAGCTGTTGTCGCGTCACTTTCGCACCCTACTCTCGGATGAGAGTCTGCTGCGCACCTTGTACAAGCGCTCCGCTTTTCTGCGCTGCGAGGAGGAGAAGGAGCAGTTCCTCTATCATCTGCTGACACTCAATACCGTGGACTATTTCAGCTTTACCAACATTTATCCCACAACGAGTAGGTTGCGCTAGACAAAAGGTTCCCTTTCGAGCCAAATTAGATTTACATTGCCTCTTTCCGCCTCTTTCCACGCCTTTGCTTAGAGCTGCCCTATCGCGTTGTCATCTTCCCTTCGCGTAAACATGGCTCCTATCACACCTCCAGCAATGTGTGGATCATGGTCTCTGGCACCATGAATGAAACCCAACGTGTGCCCGTGCCCAAGGGCTCATTGGAGTTTATCTTTCATGTGAGTCGTAATTTTATAACATTCATTTGAAGCTCTCTTAACGCTGGCTTATTGCAGTATAAGAATCTGGGACTGCTGACCACCATGCGCATAGGACACGACAACTCGGGACCTAGTCACAAGTGGCTGGTCGAACAGGTGGTAATGCGCAATGAGGTCACCGGGCACACCTACAAGTGAGCAACAGACATATGAGACACATTTAAATATTAACTAAACAAGCAATACTTTCTTTAGATTTCCCTGCGGTCGCTGGCTGGGCAAGGGCGTCGATGACGACTCCACGGAACGTTTGCTGGTTGGTCAGCGCGTTTGCACCAGTGTAAAAAATGCCGAGCTCTTGCCGCCCACGCGGACACCGCCGCGTACACGCAGTCCCAGCGTGCAGCGTCAGGAGTCGGTGCCGCCATCGGAGATACAACATCAGCTGGGCAACTGTGTCAATGTGATTGTCAAGTGGCACTACAAGCCGAGTCGGGATCGGGATGTGGGCACGCTGACGAATCTGCTGTGTGGCGATGATGGGCTGGTTAAATGCCTGGAGCAGGTCTTCCTTTGCGGTTTTCGCTCGTCCCGCTTCTTCGGACGTAATCTATACATCTGGGATTACTTTAGTAAGTGGCCTAAAATCCAGAACTTGATATGTTTTAAATGCGTGTCTCCATTTTGCAGCTAAAATCAAGGAGCTGTTTGAGCAGAATCTGCAACAGGAGCTGGATGACTCGGCTTCCAGCATGGACTCCTCCTTTAGCAATGGCAGCTCCAATAGCCTGCAACGACGTGAGATAGCCAGCATTTGGCGTCTGTATGTGCAGCTCATGGATGAGATTAATGGCACGGCCAGCACACTGGGCAAGGATGGCAAATTTCAACTGCTCATTTGCCTTAGCCTGAGGTAATTAAATGAAGTTTCTTTGCGTTTTTCCCTTAATAAGGTTCTCTGTTTGCAGGGAGCATTTGTTGACGCGTCTTATCAAGCCGATGGCCTTGACGAAGGTCACCCAAGAGCTGTACGAGGAGGAGAGTTTTCTGCGTCGTCGCAATCTTTTGACATTTCTCATACAAATTCTGGAGCCGCTTGATGATTGCCACATCGTGCTGGAGAACTCCATAACCCAGGGCATACGCATTCCATCCCAGTGCTGAACCGTGGCTCAACTTAGCCCGCACCCACACTTACCCACAGACATTTGCAACCAGTGACCTAGAATACTCATATACATATGCCCAAACAGTACATGGAATCACACGGGGAATCTCTGTAACTCGAATTCGTTGTTAGTTTTATGTAAGCTAAAGACTTGTCATCCTTTTTAAACCTAATCCAAACACTTGCCATCTACTCGCTTGCCAAGTGTTCAAAGTCAATGTGAAGCCAAAGTTGAACAAAATTCTGTGCAATTATGAAATTAATCCCAAATAATTCTAAAAGTGTTGTTCAATATGCAATTGCGTAGCTATTAGCGTTTAAGCTTTTACATTAACATGTATCATCAAAATATCTTGGTAACTTTTTCTAAGTTAGTGAATTTATTTTTGAACGTTAGTTTTCCATTTAGTTTATATACACCAAAGATTTTTAGTTTTGTGACACGAAAATTGTCGATTTTATGATATTTTTATTGAAATTAAGAACATGGTGTTTTTGTTGATATCAAGCTTTATTTTTATATTTTATTTAGCCAAAAATGAAAATATTTACAAAGTTATTGAGTGTCAATAAATATATACAAAAGACAGCAACAATATAGCCAACATTTTCGGCTAATTGTCAATTTCAATTCAATTTTAGTGTATAAAAGAAAATTAATGAGATTCAGTACTTCCCCGAAAATACGTTTGGCTTTGGCGATATCGATAACCTAAAAACGTAATTACGATAGTCGCCTTGTATTACTGAAACAGAATCACACTGCGGTTAATAGCTAAGCAATTATATAATTTTAATTAACTTTAATTATATGGATAGTCGTTAAGCAGTGATTATACAACATAAGCTCTAATTAGTATTCGATTGTAAAATGCAGCTAGTGGCAACGTGTTATTAAACTATCGATATAATTGCCATTAACCGGTGGGTGTCGTTAACAGTGTGGCAACGCCAAATGTCAGTTGATGTGAGCGCGATTCCCACTCGTTTTGTTGCGACGCACAGACGCGGACATATAAGCTTTGTACAATTTACAACAATCAACAAAAAGCAATATTAACAAGATAAGCATCGTCGACAGCTTCCAATTGCCACCAGGCGCAGTGCTACATAAAACAATTTTAATTCGCAGTGCGTCATTTTGTGTGAAAAGAACAGACAGAAATTATATATAATACAACGTTGTGCCACGAACACTCATCGATTTTTAGCCGAAATATTGAAGCTAAATTTGAAAGAAAAAGTTGAAAGTAAGTTGCCCTCAATTTTCTTTTGTTATAGTGTGTCCAATGTTTCTTGTTGTCTTTGGGTCACACCAAAAATGTTTGTGCACAAATATATACAAAACGACGCACTGTCGCTGCTGCTGCTCCCTGCCTATTGGCGATGACGTTGACGCTGCCCGTGACGTGAACAGTTACCCTCTCTCTCACTCTCACTCTGTCTGCTCTCTTGGCATATTTGGGCAGCGTGAGCTGGATTTGGATTGTTCTCGTTACATTTAATAGCTGCGTTGCCCACGAAATATGCATCTTTATGGGTTGAATTCGCTGCCAAGGCCCGGATACTTACATAATACTGCCGCCAGCCCCCAGATTTTTGATGCATTCGCACAACAGCTGCTGCTGCGCCATCGATTTGTGCTACCTAACCGGCGCAGCGACGCCAGTCCCATCCGCCTTGTCCCATCCCCTGGACATAGACAACCGCCGCCGCCACGTCATTTCACGGCATCGTATGACTTTCTTGGGTTTGTTGTGGCACTTGCAACGCGTTGGCGCTAGCGTTGCTGCTTTCAGCTCTCTCTCAATCTCATTCTCTCTCTCTCTCTCTGTCGCGCTGCCCTTTTCTGTGTTATGTGGGACCCCTGCTAACGAACTTTGTGCTCTGATCGTACGATTTTAAAGTTGGCATTCGTCATTGTTGGATGGCATTGCGAACAAGAAAAAAAACTAAAAACACATTTAATAATAACCTAAGCAATGCGCACACATTACTCATGCTTGACGCTGACGTCGCTGTCGCTGCCGCCGTCGCATATACCCTCTGCCAGCTGCGTTCGTGCTCCACTTTCCCAAGCGGCCACTCAATACGTTTTTACCGTTGCCTAATTTCAACTCTGGTCTCAAAACTATGAATGTACATGCGAAAGCGCAACAGAAAGAGGCGGTAGAGGAAGAGAGACATAGAGAGAGAGTTTGATCGTGGCGTACGCATGTGAAGCCCACGCACAGTTAGTCAGCTGTTTCAGTTACTCAATGAAACTGTTTATCGTCAGTCATGTGTGGGTGAATATTGTGCGTGTGTGCGTATTTGCGTGTGCAGATTTGTCAGTGTGTACAAACATTTGAAATCGAATTTTATTTGACTTTGTGCATTGCAAATGTCAGATTAGCCACGTTTCGAGCAGCATTTACAATAGGTGTTTAAATAACGCAATTAAAAACCGCTAATAACTCCTTATCTCGCTTAACTGTGAGAATCTTAATTACGTACTTGCAGTAAAAGATATTAATTACTTTTACATAATTTTTCAATATTGTATTGTTTTGCTGTTGTGCAGCGTCACCGGACAAGTTCCAATTTCGTTTAAGTGCGTCCCACATATGTTATACATTTTGGGCATATTTTTTTAATGATGATAATGCCTGGTGGCAACTGTGGGGTTATCAATGCACATGTGCTCATATGGTAGTATATTTGTGATCTATATATAGCAACAGGCAAGAAACAGCAGCTTATCAATGAATAACAGCACTCCTAACCCGTATTAACGTGGATTCAACGTGCCAACTGTACTTTGAAGCCGAACGGAAACTTCTACGAAAACGTAAGGTAAAAATTGTATTTCTTCTGCTTGGCCATTCCACACAGTTTTGGTAACTTAACTTTAGCAAGTCCGAAAGAAACGCGAGACGCGTACGTTAACCCCGTATCGGGGCTAAGGCCCAGAGACGTTTCCGATGACGATTCTGAGCAATGGTTGCGTGTTGGAAATTTTGCAAGGTCCGCTTATTAAAAATATGTAGTACACATATTATATACATGCATACATATGTAGATCCGCCCGAGCTGTTATCGCTGGGTATTGCTGATAACCGGCAAGCTCGTGCCTGAATCAATATATTAATTACTAGCTAAGCACAAAAAATATAACTTTATCTATTTACTTAGTACATATCGTCATTCGGGAACTCATTAACTTATGTACAGAGTGCAGCGGAAACATGTTTCAACGATAATAGACAAAAATTAAAGATAAGACAACAGGTAGCCAAAAAGCGGCCTATCTTATCATTGCTGTTGAGACGGACATCTCTCAATTAGCAGATGCGCTCTGCTCGCAATAACACGTAACCATGTACTCACTTTTTCTCAGTTTGTTTACATTGTGACTCGCATTTACTTTGTGTGTATACGTGTGTATACACTGGCAGGCTATGTCTCTTGTGTATGCATGCGTGTGAGAGTTCGCCGATCGTATGACTGAGCTGACGTTCGCTTGTGACGTCACTGCCTGCGTTGCCTTTGAACACAGTGCAAAAGTTGGCCGCAGCTCTTAAGCGCGTAACGACCCTCCTTGCTGCCTGGCAACAAAATTATTGTTGTTTTTTTTATTGTTGTGTCAATTTCACCATTTCTTCTAGCGCAGAGTAAAAATAACGATTACATCAGTGCCATAAAATCGAGTTTTTTGTAAAACCAACTTGAACTTGAACGAGCGCGCGCAGCCATAGAATTGGCAAGTTTTGAGCCGGTTTTCGCATATGCATGAATCAGCTGCAGCATTAGCATTAGCTGCCTTGAACGGAATACCTTTGCCACATTAATGTTGGTCTATGGCCTGGTTTTCTTTCTCCTTATAAGCTTATCATTAGGGCGATAAGAAGCGCTCATGCTCTTTAATACAAACAAAAAAATTAATTTGACGTAATATGGCAAATCAAGGCCAGGCAGCGCTCTGAGCAAACTATATAAATATTTCATGAGCATTGGATATATTTAAAAATGCCAGAAAACACGCACTCAACAGCTGATTCTTCACAGCAGCGCGTCTGTGTGTGTGGGAGAGAGAGCGAGAGAGAGAGAGAGAGATCATCAAACATATGTATTTGCTTCCCGCTCACACAGCACAAGTTGTGTAAACACTTGTGTTGTGTTCACGTGCGTTTTTTTTTTTTTACATTAATTAATACATTTTGTATGTGTTTTGTGAATACTAATTTTATATTGTGAACGTAACAAGAACAGGCTTGTTCAACTTGCTGTGTCAAGTTTACACACACTCGCACTTGTCTCCAATTGAGTGCGCTCTCTTGCTACCGCTCTCTCTCTCTCTCACCTACTGCTCTTCTTATTCTTATTCTCTTTGATTAATTGTTTTGCGTTAAGTACGTGCCAAAATGTGATTGTTTTTGACATTTTTGCCCGTTGCTTTGATTGTCGCTTTTATTTATCTGTTGCATTTTTATTTATTTTTTTTTTTGAAGAAATTCGCATGAAAGCGCGTGGCAAAACGAAACGAATGTTAATTAAAGCGAATTGATATGTCCATGGCATCCGGCAGCAATGCAATTGAAATATCACGTGTCTCATGCGCCACAGTCGGCAAGAAGAAGCAGCGCCAATCACACACACACTCGCACACAAATAGGTTACTGCAAATTACATATGTACACACTTGTTTATGCATGTATTTACATATTTATTTATGTAAACACTTTCACGCTTTTCTTCCAGTTTGCCGGTGCAATAAATAACAACAGCAACAAAGAGTTCCATATTAACGTACAAGTTCTTGGGAATCGGAAAAACTGCCGCGACCGTTGCAAAAGATACGCTGCGATGGCAACTTCATCGGTAATCGCCAATAACACGAACAGCACAATTAACGCGGGCTCAGCCGCTGCCGCAGCCGCCGCCGCCGTCGTGGTCACATCTACGCTGAGCACACGCAAGCGCACCTACGAAACAGCCATTAGCATGCCTGCCATGGACGCCAAAGAACTGACGACAACGACGACAACAGCACGCACAGCCACGCCATCTGCTAAATCGAGTAGCCCAATTCCCGATGAGGCGGTAATTGTGGACATGAATGGCCCACAGGTAGCTACCACATTGCGCGACTCGACGCGCACAATCTCACAGAGCGATGCCGATGATGGCACCGAGGCGAGCTCACCTGACGACACCCTGCCCTCCTGCTCCACCTCAGCGGCGGCAGACTATCTCACTGGCAGCGCCGGCGTAAAGCGCAAATATATGCCGCCCTCGGCAACGTCCCTCCTGCTGGCGCTCAACACGAAATTACCCTCGGCACAGCCGCCGCCCATGCTGCTCTCCGCACCAACGCTGACGTCCGCATCCACCTCCCACCAAGCGTCCAATAGCAGCGGCTTTGCCGATCTAGCGGTAAGTGAAAACGAAATGTCCTTGACAAGGTCATACGATATTGAATCATCGTCAGCTCGCCTCTCCTCCTCCTGCTCCAACCAGATGCAATGATTTGAGCAGTGGGCGGGGCGTATATAAAGCAACCGTTTCCCGGAACAAGTTCTAAGCAATTGCGCCTTTGTTCTGTAATTGGCCCAGAGATATTATTATGATTTTTTGATAAGGTATTATCAGCTCAGAAGTTAGTTAATTCCTTGGATGTGCTCGTGGTAAATGCTATAACTATATTGTTAAGTATGTATATATGATTTGTATAGTGCATGTTGTATAAGTGAGTGCACTTCGAGATACCCTGTAACTAGTGAACTGGGGTTAGCATTTAAAAATCTAAATATTCTTGATCTGTGCGGCGCAAAAATCGATATTTATCGATGCTTGCTTAACGAGCTATCTTGATCTACGCGGACTGCAGACTACAAATCGATATTTATCGATATCTGCTTAACGAACTATCGAAACGGATACATTTTCTTGATCTAAAGAGGAAGAGATATTCCTTCGATCTGTTACAACCATTATGCCCATTATTTGATTTAAGCTACTTTCTGATAACCTTTTTAAACTATTTTTTTTTATTAATACTCGTTGTGCAATTATTATTAACAAACGGATTTGTTAAAAAGCGCTTGGAAAAGGCATTCGATATGCATTTTGGCCTCTTTAGTTTTTGCAATTTTTCATTTTCTGTTTTGCCGCAAATACATGTATTTGGCCATGCTTTGATTATTCGAGCGTGAAACGATTTCGATATGGACACAAATTTAAAAATATATATATATATATATATACATACATATACATATATATATAAATATATATATATATATAAATACTGTCAGATGTCTGTGGTTTTTTCTTCCCCTGTTTAATTTATGAGCTTTTACTTTTGTTTTGTTTGTGTTGCCCGAAACGAGCTATTAACTTTTTAATTGGCAATATTAGTGGCAAATGTTCAATTTACTCAAACCATATGCTTTTCCCACTCTTTTTTTGTAATATTTACTTTATTTACATTTCACACACTCGAAACTTGGTCAAGTTCAGTTCCATTTCTGCTCCATTCGATGCGGTTGCTTTCAAGTTAAACAAGCGCTGAATGTATATATATATGTATATATATATATTGGTTAGGATATTTTCGGAAATAGCATAGCTGCCCATTCATGGCCAAGTGATAAAACATTGTTTTTTTTTTTTTGGCATTCAATCTTCTGCGCTGCGAGTCTGATTGACGCTTTGTTAGACGCTGATTGTCAGTTATATCGTATGATATCGCCAGATGCCTCGTGCCAGATCCTCCCTTTTGCCATAGCTCTATAAATATACGTGCTCAATTTGCGGCAATTGAAATTTGTCGTCGCCGGAGCAGTCGCTAGCCTGGCCGGGGGGCACGCCGTGTCGAGCCGACCCGACCCGAGCGGCGCCCGCTGCCGTGTCCGTTGTTCACTTTTATTGTAGGCAATTGTATTGATTTGTGGGCAGTTGCCGCCAATTAATTGAAAGCCGCTGCGCAATTGTAACGCCGCTGCCAATCCTCGACAGAAACAGGCACACACACGCACACACTCACTTAGATACTTGGTCGCAGTGAGCCGAGCATTTGTTGTTGTCAAAGTCCCAGCAATTGGTGCCTGGAGCTCTCAGTTAGACAGCTGTAAGCAACCCAATCAGATCATATTTGTACTCTGAACCGACAGCCATATAAATAGATCTGTATATATATATATTTGATAAAAAAAAATTGAAAAAAAATAATGTCTGAGCAAGAAGAGGCGCCACCGTCGCCACAGATGTTCGAATACAAAATGTTGCCCCTGCACATGGACTTTAAGGAATTCGTAAGGGGCGCCGCAAACCGGAGGAAACTATCCGTCAGACCCGTTGACTAAGTTTCGCTTTCTATTCTTACTGTTTTGCAGACCATTTGCAAGCCAGCGCCGTTCTCCTGCGATGAGGAGGCGATTTTGGAGCGCGAACGTTGCGATTACACAAACCGGATTACCTATCAAATGGCCCGCTCCGGGCAGACGAGTCGTCGGGTGCGCGTCTATGCGGATGGTATCTATGATCTGTTCCATCAGGGCCATGCCAGGCAACTGATGCAGGCCAAAAATATCTTTCCCAATGTCTATTTGATTGTCGGCGTTTGCAATGACGAGCTTACGCATCGCATGAAGGGACGCACCGTCATGAACGGCTTCGAGCGCTACGAGGGCGTGCGTCATTGTCGTTACGTGGACGAGGTGTGTGTGTGTGCATGAGCCCATATCAAAATATTGAACCCTCATACTAAACTAGTTGCTTGTGCTTGTCTACAGATTGTGCAGAATGCCCCATGGACGCTGTCGGACGAGTTCATAGCCGATAACAAAATTGACTTTGTGGCACACGATGACATTCCCTATGGCCACGACGGCCTGGATGATATTTATGGTCCGCTTAAGGCGCGAGGCATGTTTGTGGCCACGGAACGCACCGAAGGCGTCTCCACGTCGGACATTGTGGCGCGTATTGTTAAGGATTATGATTTGTATGTGCGTCGCAATCTGGCACGCGGCTATTCCGCCAAGGAGCTAAACGTTTCCTTCCTATCCGAGAAGAAGTTCCGTTTGCAAAATAAAATGGATGAGCTCAAGTCGCGTGGCAAGCGCGAACTGACCAAAGTCAAGGGCGACATCATCACCAAATGGGAGGAAAAATCACGTGAATTCATTGATACATTTCTGCTGCTCTTTGGCCGCGAGCGTCTGAATCATCTGTGGAACGAGTCCAAGGGCAAACTCATACAGGCGCTCAGCCCGCCCGGCAGTCCGTCCGGCTCTGTCAACGGCGATGATTTGGATAACGATGGCAATGACTCCGACGAATACTTGGAACTGCCCGCCGAATATAGCGGCGGCAGCACGAGCTCCCTGAATGGCAGCAAGCAGCGCTACTCACTGGCAAGGCCCAGCTATCAGAGTCGTTCGGTGGTTGCCTCCTCGCCGGATGACTACGATGATGATGATGACGCTGTCTACGATGCAGAGTTTGTCGAGCGGCGCAGCAATTGAATTAGTTGTAGTGTGTTGCAAGCACAACCATTTTCATATTTGGCTAGTTTCACTTTCTCTCTTAAAGCTATTGTATATTTATTAAATTGTTTTTTCGTGCGATAATCGTAGGCATATCATTTGTTGAGAAGCGATGCGAACCTCGTAGTAGTCGTCGTCGTCGTTGTCGTCCTCCTCCTGTTGCCCACGCGTACACAATTTTCTATAAATGTATCTCTAAATGGTATTTTATAAACAGTTTAGATTTAGTTGCAACTGCACTCGCTCCTCCTACCTGTTGCCACCAATCTGCGCTCTTTCTTATTGAAACCTGTAGCCAATTTTAGATTTAAAACAAAAAGAACGGGGCCGCAGCTGCAAAAGCAAATCCTACACGATTTATAAAACTAAGCACGGCATACAAAAATATGCTGTGAAAAAAAAAAGAAGAAAACCAACGCAAGACTCATTTTTTGTATTAAGCCTTAAAGATTTTGCGTGAAGATAAACAATATAGAATTATTTATATTAAATTATTTCGCGTAAGCTAAAACCAACATAAACACATCCATATACAAAAACTATACACATTCGCAGCAAGAAATTTATTTGCAAAACTCAGTTTGCAAACGATAAAAATGAAAAGCTTTGTTGAATATTTTTTTGAAAAATAAACATTGGAATGAAAGCGAAATTTAAAGGAATCTAAACATGTTTTCTTAAAATATAAAAGGAAAAGAACAAGTCAACTTTTTGCCGTGCTCTCGCTGCCTTTATTGGATTATATATTGTTATATATATATATTAATGCGAAATACATATGAATATGGTTTAATTAAATTATAAAGGTTTTATGGTTCAGAAAAAGTTATTTGTAATAACGTTGAAATAATCCCGCGACTTTGGCGCGCACTAACAAAAATTTCTTACTACAATGTATTAGATTGTGTTAATTGGATAATAATGCCAGGAATCAATGTCATCTGGGATTGATTTACGGAGCTCTGTTCATGCCCACAGCGAACAGGGGCACCATTTTCTTGCCCTTGGCCTTCTTCTGCTTCTTACTAACAACAGCATCCACTGGAGCAACATTCGATTTGGCCGCACGCTGCTGCTGCTGCTTCTGCTGACCCAAGGCGCCGACAAGTAACTCGCCCAACGCCCAGGGTCCAACGGCACGCAATTCATGCTCCTCATCCAGTGTGGAACGACTGGCAACAGCAGCGGCTGCTCGGTTTACTGGTGGTGGCGGTGGCGCAGCGAGACCCCAGGCACCCATGTGGAACTCCGATGAACTATGACGCAAGCCCGAGGAGTTACCGGGGGAGGAGCTGCCAATGGTGGGCCACAGCTCCTGTTTGGGACTTGCAGCCACGCTGGAGTAACGCGGGCCGCTTACCTGAGCAATTGTAATGGGCATGGCGCCTCGAGGTGCCGGCAAATCCTCCTCAAAGCCGCACTGCAAAGATTATAAATTGGGATTAGGCGCAAGCAAAATAGGATGCAACAATGCCATGACGTACAGTGGGAAACTCGTGGGTAGAGTTAAGATTCAAATTGGCTGCACTGGCAATAAGTTTGCCCATCTGGCGATCGTTTATCTCATTGATGTGCTGTTCACGTTTGCGTTCCTCGCGCTCACGACGCTGACGCTCCTTCTGGCGATGAAGTAGATCATCTGCAGGATTGAGAGAACTAGTTAGCCGCGACTGGATGCTTATAGTCTGTGGCATAATTACCCTTGAATAACTTGAGTATGCTGCCTGAAATAATTGGTGGCTGGAGCTCCACCTCGACAACTGCAAACTGGCAGGTCAGAGGCAAATGGCCCAAGCACGTAAATTTGCGACGATGCTCCTCGTCCATGGAGTGATGCTCCTTCTGTATTATCTGCGCCTTAATCAGCACGGGTGCCAAATCCAAGGTGCCGTAGCATGCCTGCAGCATTTTCACGTTCAATGGATGCAAGTAGATGTTCTGCCCATCATTCGACTGATAGAAATAATAATATTTGTTGTTGTTGCTGCTGTTGTGGATTGTGGAGCTGCTGCTGTTGCTCGCCTCGCCTAAAGATGAAACGGAGGCATCGTCGGGCTTCTCAATATCAATATCTGGAGTCTTGGCTTGTTGCTGCTCTTCTTCTACCAGCTGGGGCTGCTGTGGCAGCTGTTGTTCCTCCGGCTCCAAACCCAGCTTCTCGCAGCGCTCATTCAGTGTCAGCAGCGCCTGCTGTATGAAAATATCCTCTGGACAGGACACATCGGACTCTGCCCAAAGTTCACGGCGTTCACGTTCAATAATGGCCGCAATATCCGACCGCTTGGCAATCAAAAACTTGGAGAAGCGTTTAGCCTCATCTGCGGCGCCCAACAGCGGGAAACGCTCGTGCGGCTCTAGAGCAGTGGCGGCTGCGCCTGCATAGCGCTCAATGTACATGGAACCCTTGCGACGACGCATCAATTGAAAGCTGATGGTATCAGCCACATTCATGGCGTGCTGCTGCTCGATGGTGCAGCTCTTCAAATCTGCAGCATGGATGGCATCATAGCAGATGGGACACTTGCGCCAGGACTTGTCGCTCAGCGAGAGATAGTGCAACAGACAGGGCCAGCAGTAGGCGTGGCCGCAGCGAGTAAGCTTGGCAGCCACCGGCGGATAGAGGCAAATGGGACACTGCGGCTCCTCGGTGGTGTGTATATTGATCTGTTCGATTAGATTCCAATCGATCAGTGTGTCCGGCGAGCCATTTACTTGGGCTTTGGCGCTGCTGCGTATAACAAACTGAAAGTTGGCCTGCAAGAACTGCTCCTTGTTGTAACGTGGCTGACGGCGTGTCGACAGGGTACCACCATGTCCAGTCGCATGCCAGTCCGATGAGGATGACGTCTCGCGCGGCACACAATGAAAGTTCAGCAGATGGTTCAGATTCTGCTTCTTGCTGCCGTGCGCATACACAGAGTTTAGTTCATAGTCAAGAACGCTACGCATGTAGCCTTCTCCCGCTGCTGCTAATCCGGCGCCGCCATGAGTGTTATCCGTACTGGCGCATGCAAGGCCATCGCCGTGGCCAGACTCTTGGCCATAACCGGAACTGCCACTGCCGCTGCCGCCGCCGCCACCACCGCGGGCACGTGGACGCTTGTCCACATTAGGACGTAGTTTTGCCGGCTGCTGTTGTTGCTGCTGCTGCTGCTGTTGCTTGTTGCTGCGCTGTGGCTGCTCGTTGCGTGGTGTGGGAAGCTGTTCGCGACGTCGAGAATTGCGTGTTTTGTTGTTAACATACAAGTCTGCAGACGAGATCAAAAGACAGAGTTGTTAAATATGACCTATGGAAAACAGTCGGCAGACGAGATCGAAAGACAGAGTTGTTAAATATGACTTATGAAAAACAGTGTGACTGCGCGTAGTAAAAGTAAATATGACCAAAGTGCTCACCACTAGATTTGCGTTGAGCTTCAGCAGATGATTTGTTTGCACGTTGTTGTTGCTTCTTGTTGTTGTTTTCCATTGTAGTTGTTATTTTTGGCTGCGCTTAGGCCGCAAAGCTCGTTGGTGGAAAGGTTGAAAAAGATGGGAGGGGATTGTGCGTTGGCCGTTTGTTGCTGCCAATTGACAGCAAACTGCGTCTCGCGTTGACGTTTGTCTCCACACGGAGTGCGTTGCGCGATTATTTTTCGTTGAGGATTCATCTTTACTGAGCCATGATTATTAACAAATATACCCAGAAATAATACTTGCGTAATATTTCCAAAAGGTTATGCGTGTGGTTTTCGGTATAAATCGAAAATCGAAGCGGTGAAAAGTACTAGATTCAGTACTTGTGTGCTGTTCTTTTTTCTCTTTTCTGTAAAAGACTTTTTGCCTTTTGCTTTACTTTACGTTCGCTTTTTTGCCGTTCTCTTTTATTAATGTATTTGTTGTTGGTATTGGTGTGATGTCCAAAGGTGTGACGACTGCGTTTTTGCACTGCGTAAAATGTCGAATTTGTGGCTCTAATTTCACTTGTCAAATGTGCGCGCACAGACTTAAAATGATTACAAATTGTTGAGAAATATATTTTGTGTCGTGAAAGCAACTAATTTTGATATAAAAACCAAAAAATCCTCGGTTGGAAAAATCAGCATCCGTGCTGACCTATGAAAAACAGTGTGACTGCGCGTGACAAACGGAAAAATGACCTAAACTAAATGAAATACCTGTGAATGGCAATACGACGATAACCATTATAATGCAGCATTATTAAAGATTCTTGCAAAAATTTAGTGAAGAAGCTACTTAAGAATTCGAGCAAATTAATTCATACATTTATTTATACAAGCAGTATAATAGTCGGTAGCGTATATATAATTACCGTACATTTAGTTTAATCAGCGTGCTATTCTTCGGTACAAGCATATATCGATATCATTTGGTATCGATAATAGTTACGGCCGCCATTTTTTTTTGTTACTACTACAATTGAAGTCGACTAGGCCGTGTTGCTGAGAGAAAATTCACATTTTCACATCAATAAACTATAGAAATTGTCAAAATAAATATAGCGTTTGACCTAAAAAAACGAGCCCTTCTCTTTGTGCATTGGTCCCCAATAAGTTTGCATTGCGTTTTTATGGTTTGCCATTGGTGAGTAAAAGTTCATTGATAAAAGTACAAACATGCATGCATACGTATGGAAATATGTATGCATGTATGTACTAGTGCGACGACAAATACATTAGAAATCAGCGCCAGCAGCGGATACACCCAACTACAACGTTCTGCTCTGCACCTAATTAATTAATTAAACCCAGCTATTGGCTACGACGCCAGAGAAAGTGCGCATCGCGTCACGCATCGATTGCAATTTTCGCAACACAGTTTGGCAACGCTATCGATTTATCCAGCCTGTACTTTTGGTCCTGTGTGCGTGTGCGTGTGCGTGCATGTGCGTGCGTTTGTGAGTGTGTTGTTGTTTGTGTGTACACATTTAGGAATACGCTTGCATTCATAATACATAAATACATAAGTCTTAAAAATATAGTTGTAAGTTTAACAGTTTGATGTACGTATTTAGTATTTTAAGCCACGCGATCGAAATGTGTTCGGACGATTGGCGCCAAACGAGTTGGTGCGATAGCTGGGCACACCATTGACATTATTTCCAGTTGCGTAAGCTGGCAATGGAGGCGGCTGCGGTGTTGGCGGGCCCCGATTGATGCCCAGACCATTGTTGCGCAGGCTGGGCGCCACATAAGGTCGCTGGCTGGTAGAGGCCCCAGCGCCAACACCTGCACTTGCACCTCCAGCTCCACCTGCACCTGCACCTGCACCCAGAGACGGGGACTGGGGCTGCTGTTGCTGCTGGGGCACATTTGCCGGAAGATTATTACCCTGCTGTGGCTGTACAATTGGCGGCACCAGCGAGTTAACCGTGGAGAAGTTTGGCGGCTGTTGTGCCTGTGGCTGTGGCTGAGTCGGTTGGCTTGGCTGAATCTGCGTCCGCTTGGCCAGCGCTGGCGCCAAGTAGGGATGATTGGCGCCGCCGTTGATGCCACTGCTGTTGCTCTGCGGTATATCGTAGCTGCGTCCCGACGGTGTCGTCACCTGAATGCTATTCGGCGGCGCCGGCAGAGCGCACGGCTGTGGCTTGCTATAGTCATAGCCATTGGGCAGCACCTGCACATAGTTTTCAAAGAACTGGCTAACCGAGTGCATTGGCGTCGAGTAGTTGACATTGATGAGAGATTCGCGCGTGCGCAGTCGCTTGGCCGGCTCCTGTTCTTGTTCCTGCCTTTGTTGCTTCTGCTTCAGTGCCAGCGCTTGCAGGCGCAGTATGTTCGCCTGTTTGATGTGGGGCAGCAGCTCGGCATCACCCTTGATCTTCTCCACGATTGCCTCATCACTGTCCAACGCATCCTCGGCATGCTCGCTGGTCGCCTTCGTAGCTGGTTGCGCCTTTGTTGTGCTCTCCACAACTGTTGGCTTTGTCGGCTTTGGCTCCTTTGTCTCCTTCTCGGCCGACGGCGCATTTGTCTTCTTGCCATTTACAAAATCAAAGAGCTCGTCTATGTCTGGCACCTCGGGCAGTCCACCATAGGATTCAAAGTTATCACGAAACGTGTTCGCCCAATCCTCATTCTTGTGCAGCTCGGGATTGATGGCCAGCTTCACTTGCCTATTGCTCGCTGCACCCGACGAGCCCGACTCCCCGCCGCTGCCGCTGCCGCCCACATTTTTGATCACTGTTATGGTCTTAACGCGCGTTCCCTCCTTGGAGTCAATGTTGGTAGCCGCATAGCTCAGACTCAGATCTCGTTTGGCCGGCTGGCTGCGCTCTAGGCCCTCGGCGCCCTGCGGCGGATACTTAATGCTGATTATGGTGGCGCCCTGGACGCCGACAAGCAATAGCAGCCCCAGTGCCGACATTGACTAGAAAATTAGGTACAAAAGTGATTTTAGTTGAGTTTTTCTTTCGTTCTAGAATCGGATTCATGGTTAGTAAGGCCACTGAACGATTCTATGTGCCAACTCGAAAATAACTCATGGATAAATAATGGTTAATCCAACATTAGATAGAGTGTTGTCTTTTAACGAACTGTGACGGACTGAGACCTCGTAGGATAATGGGAATATTTAAAATCGTTTTCGTTCCTTTTTTGCTTTAGAACTCTCACAAGAAATCTTGCTCCGTATTTAGTTGAGATTGTATTACTTTGCTTTTGTTCCCCATGCTCTACAATAAACATTGTTAAGATCATATTTATTGCTAATCAATAGTTTTAAGCTTCTAATCAAATTATTTATTTCGCTTTGAGTTCCGCGCAGATCCGACAGCTATTTGAAAAGATATTTACTTTTGTAGTCGGTGGCAGAAAATCCGTTTCGAGTGCAAATAGTTTTTAATAAAGAAAGCCTAGAAGCTGTCTTTAAACAGAAATATCAAGTGCATTTTAATATAAACTATTTTGTAACTTTGAGCTAATTGGTTTGCCTTGCAATAAAGTATTTGCTTTTCCGGATAACATAGAACTCTTAAATGTCGTGCTTAGATATATTGCTAAATTGCTCGAAAAATAGCTTTAAGTTAAGGTTTTTTTTAATGTCTAGAGTCAGTCTTTTCAAGATCCGGCTATTTGGGAGTGCAATTAAATAAATAATATCTTAAGTTCTGTCGAAGATTCTGAAGCTTCGGAAATTAGCACGTAAAACAGCTACCGTTAATATATACCCAAAGATCGTTCGATAGGCGCCTCACGGGATCTTTAATGCTTCATATATATAGATATTTATATATATGTGTATATAGTTTGTTTTTTAGTGTTGTAGTGAAGCACTCACAATTGCGAATCTCATTTCTTTGAATAGTCCTCAAAGCACGCGCCGCTATCTGGCGATAGATGAGGCTGAACAACAACTACGACGACGACGACGACGACGATTGGCAACGATGACGGTAACGCGGTCAAATCTTTTGTGTAACTGCGGCCCAGATGGCCAACAATGGCTTTTTATATAGCCAAGCGGAAGGAGTTGGAGTTGTGGCTTCCTGTAATGTTTTGGCGTTAATCAGCCAAAGCAAAGCGTCAAAGCCAAAAACAAACAAACAAACAAACAAACGCAACGCAAATTAAAACGGGCCGCGGCCACCGCCTCCTCCGACTGCTCCTGGACGCACACTTGGCGATCGGGCTGCTTATTTATATTTGTGCTCTAAGTTGTCGTTGTTGTCGCTCCTCCTCCTTCTCCTCGTTGTTGTTGTTGTTGTTGTTGTTGGTTGGTGGAACGGAGCGTGGCCGCAAATGCGAACCGCGAATTGAATTGTAGCTGCATAATCGCTTTCCAATTACGTTCAATCTGATCAACTGGTTTGGCGCACATTTCTTTTTGGCCAGACAGTTTACGTTTTCGGCCCCGACGCACCATTAACAGGTAATTGAGTGCGTCTAATGAGGAAATTGCAAACGCTTAACGCCAGTGCGGAACGTGCTCAGGTAGTTGTTGCGGCTGCTGTGGGAGCGCCTATAGGCTAGGGACACAGTAGCATCATATTTGGTGGCCAGTTCCTGGGCGACCTTCATTCGGAGCGGGAAGGTCGCGCTGTCTGGGTAAGTGCAAGACGATTTGTGCAAATCTTTCTAATTTCATTAACCACTCACACATTATGGCATCAACATGTCCGCCTGCAATCAGTTTTACAAAAAAAGAAACTGGTCCTCTTATGCAATACACGACCCAAACAGAAACTGTCGCCCGACTTGCCAAACAAAGTCACAGTCAGTTTAGAGAATCTGGCTCGTGATGAAACGCAGCTAAACACAACAGGTTGACAGAGATTAGGTATTCATTAGAGCAGGTGGGAATACCAGCATGACTGGGAAGTGGAAATGGTTTACACTATGTGCTTTATGTTAGAAATGGGACACAAATATAATGTAACATTCTACGAATTGCAGTCGAATCATAAGAATTTCAAGGTTCATTCAAAAAAAGCCTTTGAAAACATTCTACGCCAAAATTTGCCTGATGCTTGTCTGCCACAGATCTAATAATTATATTCTTTTATAATTGATAATTGTAATAATATGTGCCTTGCTTTTAATATAAATTCCATTTAACATTAACAATTTGCTGCCTTCGGAGCCGAGCGCCGGAACGTGCCAGAATAGTCAAAAGATCAGTTTAGTATAGAAATTTCTCTATTGAAGGGCATTGAAAAAAAGTGCTATTAAATTAAAAACAAATATTTACGAAATATAAAAAAAGTACGTATTTTCTTAAAGATTTGAGAGTAGAGATATATATTTTAAATGAAAATTGTTTTGAAAAAGATCTTAAACAAAGAGCATCTTTAGCTAATCCCAAACACTATCATCATGAGTACAGCTTTATCTAAAACTTCAAGGGATTTTCAGCTTTAGTTTAGTCACGTTTAAAAATATAAAAGATTAAAGAAATATGTTGCTTGCTTTGGTAAACGAAATTTTGGTAAGTTTAGCTAAAAATGTTTTAGAATAAATTATTACGTGAGCGAATATCTAGTTAAAAATTTGCTTGATTTGAAAACTTTTGAAATATTCAAAAGAGAATAGAAAATTAGTAATACGAGAGGGGGCTACACATAGAACATAAGGTAAGAGAGAGAGAGAGAGAGCAATAAATATATAATGTGTTGAGCCGCTGTCAAAGATCTGATTGCAAGGATTGAAGTAAACCCTATTATCCATAGAGTTTTTTTTCAAGAACTTAGTACAAATATATCTAAAAAAAGCAAATAATTTTGTGCGATTTTTGTATGCACTTAATTTGCAGGATAGAGATATATACAGACTTATCTTATTACAACGGTTAACTTATATCCAAAACTCAAAAATTGAGTGTGTAAAAAATATTTAAAAAAAAATTATCTTGGTATATTTGAATGCCCAAAAGATATCAGATATTTTTTAACAATATTTTCATATACTCAATTTACGAGATAGGCATTTTTTACAGGATCTTAATGAGATTTAATCCTCGTAAATGAAAGTATAGAAACAAAATTTTAAATCGAATGTTCTTCCTACGGGTGCAATATACATATATTTAGTAGTTCGATGCTGATAAGATATGATGCAAATATATATATGGGGCCTATTTGGAACTGGATGCTGCTTAGTTTTGTTCGAACTATCTAGGAGTTAAAGTTGAAGGATTTCCATGTCTGAACTATTGATTTTTCGCAAGTTTCTTGGTACAGTTTTATGATATAGTTGGGAGATCGATCCATATTAGTCGGATCAGAAATAGAATATCTTATATGTATATCCATAAAAATCGTCTTCCCGATAATCTGATACTTATCTGATATAAACCTGCGAATGCCTTGAATCGTGTTTAATCGGAATCGAATATAAATTGCTTAAAATATAATTTTTCGAAATTTTTCCAAATGTTTTTAAAATCATGAACTATAATTTCCTATATATAGCATGTAAGAATTGTTGGTGGCATTTTCTCCATAAGAGTGTGATTCTTATTTCAGATGCGTGAAAACTGGCTGGGACTCGGCTAGCTGGTCATGTTGGACTGCCCAAATGAGAGGGATACAAGTGTTAGAAGAGGCTGGCCAAAAGCTTTTTAACTGATTCATAGATCAGTACAAACAAACAAACAAAAAAAAAAACTTAATAAGAACAAAAGAAAACTATAAAAAATAAACTGCAACAAAAACAAAAGTCTTAAATCAAGATGAGTGTCATTATTCGTTTGCAAAACCTGCCGTGGACGGCAAATGCCCGAGACATACGAAATTTCTTCACGGGCCTCTCGATACCGGAGGGCGGTGTTCACATAATCGGTGGCGAAATGGGCGACGCATTCATCGCTTTCAGGTAGTTAGCTAACTCTGATCTCTCTCTCTCTCTCTCTATCTATCTCTCTCACTCTATATATGTAAATGTTTATGTAGCTACTCAAGCGGATCCGACTAGGCAGATCTAGATACTGTTCTGTAACATCTGTTATCCTTTAAATTTAAGCCATTGCCCTTATTTGTTGCTTCTCTTCTCTCTCGAACATCCAACAGCACCGACGAGGATGCACGCTGCGCCATGCTCAAGGATCGCGAGAAACTGATGGAGGTTCAGGTGCGTTTGCTGCTCTCCTCGCGCGCCGAAATGCAAAAGGTCATCGAGACGGCGCGCAAAGTGAGCGTTGCTGCTGCCGCCGCAGCTGCCGCTGCAACGTCCACGTCCAAGCCAGGGGAGGCGGTTTCGGGTGCGTCGGCGGTATCAATGCCGCCAGTGCCACAGCCGCCAATTATTGGCGGTCTGAACAGCTTTCTGCTCGGCCAGCAACAGGGCCAACAGCTCAAGCAGCAGCAGCAGCAGCAGCTGGCTCCGGTTGTGGCAGCGGCGGCGGCAGCGCTAGGAACTGTGGCCACGCCCTCATTTTTGGCATATCAGCAGCAGGCAGGCATTTCACTGGCCGATGTGGGCGGCCTCAAAGCTGAGAAGCCAGCATCCGAGCTGGGCCCATTTGGCGCGCGTCGCCGACCGCACAGCCGTAGTCGCAGTCGCAGCCGCTCCAGCAGCTCTGATGACAGCGATCGCAGTCACGATCGTGCGACACGCGATCGTGGACGCAAGCGTCGCTCCGAGCTGCGCGGCGATAGCAGCGAGCGTGAGCTCAAGGTGCTGCCAAGGCCACAGGCGATGCCCATCGGCGCCGTGTCCAATCTGCTACCCTGGGCACTGGGCGCCAGTGCTCCGCCAGTTGCTCCGCCAGTTGCTTCTGCTGCGCCCGCAGTTAATTTGCCCGGCCTGAGCGCTATGCCGGGCCTGCAGCAGCAAATGGGCGTTATGAGCGTGCTGCCGCCCGTGCTGCAGAGCTATAGCACCACCAGCAATGTCACCACCAACAACTACAATCTCAATCTGACAGCTGCTACACAGCAACAGCAGCAGCAGCAGGAGCAGCAGCAGCAACAACAGCTTGCCATGATGGCTGATCTGGGGCAGCCCAAGACTCAGGTAACCAGCGGAGTTGCGGCTACGGCCCAGCAACAGTCGGAGCCAATTGCCTTTGCCAATGTCAATCCGTATGCCCAAATGTATCCGCAGCTGTTCCAGCAGCAACAGCAGCTGCTGCTGCAGCAGCAGGCGGCCAAAACGACACCAGGCATGGCCAACTCACCAGGCTCAAACGCAGCGGCAGCTGCTGCTGGCGGCGGTGCGGTTGGTGTTGGCGGCATCAGCAGTGGCGGCAGTGGTGGTGCTGCCAGCGGCTTATCTGCTCCCATTGCCATTGCGGAGACGTGCTACATCAAGATAAGCGGCATGTGCCCCAGCACCTCGTACAGTGATCTGCGCAAGTACTTTGCCGGCCTCTATATACCGCACAATGGCATCAAGATCGTGAACGGCGCGAATGGCACACGGACGGGCATTGCCTATGTTGAGTTCTCGCGCGTGTCCAGCGCTCAGAAGGCGGTGCTGCGCAACAATACCATGTTCCGGGATCGGCTGGTACAAATCGTGCCCATCAGCGACGAGGAGTTCGAGCAGGCCGATGAGCGCGCCCAGCGACACGGCGGTGGTGGTGGCGGCGGCGGTGCTCTCCGGGGCGATGAGCGTGCCTCGGGAGTCGCTGCCGCAGTGCAGCAAACGAATGTGCTGTACGTGGAGGATTTGCCGCAGCTGACCACCGAGCAGGATATTATGAAAATGTTCTCGGCTACGTGCACCATTGTGGACATCCTGTTGGCGCCCAGTCCCAACAATCGCCGGGAATTCGTTGCCTTTGTGCTGTTCGCGCGCGAGAACGAAGCACGCTCCGCGCTGGAGGATGCCTCGCGGCATTACATTGGCTTCCGCAAGTTGCGCGTGCGCGCCAGCAGCCAGGCAGAGATGCAGAATGCCAGGGAGAAGATGCGACGCGCCAGCGAGCAGCTGCAAAAGGAGGAGCAGCAGCAGCGCGAAGATGCCGAACGCGAGCAGGTGAGCAAACAACTACAGCTACAACAACAACAGCAGCAACAGCAGCAGCAGCAGCAGTTGCAGCTGCAACTCCAACAACAACTCCAACTCCAACAGCAACAACAACAACAGCAGCAACAGATACCACCACAGGAGCTTTTAATGGCCATGGCCAAATTCAACAATGATCCGCGTCGACGCAGTCACGAGCCGCAGCAGCAGCAGCAACAACAAAATGCTCACATACACAACAACAACAACAGCAATACCAACAACAACAACAACAACAGCCATAACAATTTGCAACCGTTTGCCAACACTGCCATGCATAACGGTAACATGCCCTTTGCATTTCAGCAGCAAAATAACGGTAACGCCATGAACATGATGAACAACGGCAACAACATGGGACCATTCGGCGGCATGCCACCCCACAATCAACAGATGCAACAGCAACAACAACAACAACAACAACAGCAGCAGCAGCAGCAGCAGGGTGGACATCCACGCCGTCAGGAGGACGTGTTTGTGCGCGTCCACAACTGCGAATATGCGACTCGCATTAACGATCTGGGCGAGCTGTTTGTCTCGGAGAATCTGCGCATTGAGCACATCGAGATGCTGTTCAATGAGCGCAATCAGAGCGCCGGCGAGTTCATTGTGGAATTTGCCGATCCGCTCAATGCCAAAATTGCCATCCGAGAGTTTCACAATCGTCGCTTTCGCGGGCGTGGCCTGCGCCTAACGCCCATTACGCCGCAAGAGATTGCCGATCGTATGCACAAGCCGTTTATGGACTATTTGCCCGGCGGCAACGGGCCGCGCCAAACGGACGTAGCCGATGCCCTGTCATCGCCCAATCAGCAACCCCAGCAGCAGCAACAATCTTCGCGACGTCGCGGTGCTAGTCGCTTTGATGATGCCGGCAATCGCGGCGGCGGAGGCGGCGGCAATCAACCGCAGCTGGACAGCGACGATAGCAGCAATTCTAAGCAGCACTTTAATCCATTTGCCAAGCGTGTCGGCCCAGAGCTGGGTCCCGATGAGCTAGGTGGCAGCTCACCCATGCTCAGCTCAAGCATTAAGGCGGCCAACAATGGTGGCGGCAGCGACGGTGGCCCGGAAGATGATGGCATACCCGACAAGTTTAATCGCGCCGGCTGCGTGGTGGCCATGCGCAACGTACCCTTCAAGGCGGACCTTAAGGATATACTGCGTTTCTTTAGCGATTACAAGCTTAGCCCAGATGATATTATACGTCGTTTCAATGATGACGGCAAGCCTACGGGCGATGCGCGCGTCGCCTTTGAATCGCCCTCGGAGGCGCGCTCCGCCTTCGAGTCGAAACGGCGCAAGCAAATCTTCAATCGCACTGTCTATCTGGACATTATTTAAGCCTGGGCTCGGCGATTAAAATCGAATAATAAATGTAAATATATATTGTTAGGTTAGGTTAGACACCATGGCAAACAGGGTGATAAGCCAAAATGCAGATGGCACTATTGTCAAATGCCACCAAAGCTGTTAAATATCATTATTATTAAACATTGTACATTAAAGCTTCAATAAATTACTATACACAACTGTATGATGAAGATACAATTAAGATTGTCCATAGCATTTAAATACTTAGACGTAATTTTGTAGCTGTATCACCTGCGACTTTTTCAACGATTCGCGGCATAGTGGACACTCGTCGCGCTCCTCCAGCCAGTCGAGTATGCAGCTCCAACAGAAGAGATGGCCACAGGGCGTTAGGCTGGCGCTCTGGCGCGGCTCCAGACAAAGTATGCACTGCGGCACATCGACTGACAAGGGCTTGGTGCTCGTCTCACGCTGCAGAAAACCTTTGGTCGCCTGTTTGAGTGCCTCCAGCTGCTGGCGTTTGTGCTCCTTCCACGCCTCCCAGCCGCCAATGGCCAACGAGACGGTGACTTGCAGGAATGTGATAATGCCAAGAATCTTGTAGCCGTACAGCGAGAACTCGGGCTGCAGCCAGTGCCGGATGAGAACGTAGTTGATGCCCGTGACGCGCTTGGACACCTGATACTTGCCGGCATCCAGATAGAATAGTGACTTGTGCAGCGCCTTGATATAACTAGGAGACTGTCGCATGTACTGTATCAGCTTCTGCAGCTTCTTCTTGGCGTCCGGCACAATTTCATCATGTTCGGCTATGTGGAGCTCCAGCTTTTGCAGCACTCTGAGAAACAAGGCATCCCCACCGAATTCCAATATGATTGCAACCAGTTGCAGCTGCAGAAAGTAGCTAAATTAGGATTTAACTATAGTTTTATTGATGTTCTTACCAATCGGCTGGGAATATGTTTATACTTCCCGTCGACCTGTATAATGCCCGTGTACTCCTCACCCAGCGTTTGCAGATTGTTTAGCGAGGCAAAACCATGATAGCTCAGCTGCGCTATCAACTGACACAGTTGATTATATTTGATCCAGTTTCGAGGCCCTGTTAAACGCAAAATATCTGACAGATCCTCGGCCAGCTCGTTGGTGTAGCGTGCATCCTTTTGTACTGAGCGCACAATTTCGGGCTGTCGTGCCCGGGCGTTACGAAAGTCCATTTTGCTGCGAGTCTAGGCTGTGTTTACATTTTTTAACCAGTAGTGGCGATCTGCAACGGCAGTTCAAAGTTCAACGGAGATAAGTAAACAAAATGTGTGTTTTGATTCCATGGCTAAATCTTGTACATATATCGATAATGCATACGATAGCCCAGCAATTTTGCAACACTGCTGATCTCAGTATCGCAATATCGATTCACAGCTGTTGGCACTGTCAAATATATCGATATGGAAAATCCCATCCCTGAAAGTGAAAAAATCATCGTCAGTATCGATAATGTATCAACAATCCTGGTTCGCATGTTAGTGAATTGCCAAAAATTGCTGAAATTTGGTGTGCATTATATATAAAATCAGCACGTAAATAATTCACTAATAGAGTGCTGGTTTTATCTGTTGTATTTTTGCTGTGACGGTGTTTAATTTGTCCCCTATTAAACAGCAGAGGAGCACGAACGTCAGTTCGCGTCTCAGCGACGAAGAAAAAAAAATTAACCAGCAATTGTTGGAGCAAAATTAAACGGAATTTCGAGCTGTGAAAATTAAACGCAAAAGCAAATTGTGAAAAGTTGCACTTAAAAGAGGTAATTAAACTGCATTAACGTGTTCGTGTAGCTAAGTGTCTATGTGTGTGTAAAAGTTGATTTCCCTGAAATGGACGTGTTGCAAGTAAAATAACCATTTTTGATGACGAAATTTGATGAGTGTGTGTGTGTGTGTGTGCGTGTTTTTATTTTCAACGTCGTCGACGTTTTTATTTGCATTTGATAAGCAGGTGTGAGTGAGCAAAATGCGTGTATGTATGGGACTTGATAAGCAGCGCAGCGACAAGTCTCCCCCCAGCAGAAAGGTCGCATATGTTGGCATTTAAGCCTCGTATTTATTTACAGTGTGTGGCTAATATTTTGGACACACGTTCGAAAATCAATTTGACTGCTCAAGCAGAAGCCTCACAAAGCGATAGCTTTGCACCCCCCCCTGACCAAAAATGTAATTAGCACTGGCTGAAATTGTTGCTGGTTTTGATTTCGGCCCATACTCCCACAAATCTACATACATACACACACACACACACAAACACATACACACTGTTGGCATTTTCTTCGTGTCTGTCAAAAACGCTTCCGCGCTGCGACTTCAATTGGCCCAGTGGAGACTTTTGCTTGTGGAGACCTTGCCTTGTGCCAATATAATAGCTCTGCTGTATCTTTAGCAGACAGCAACTTGTTGTTGCTTTTTTTCTTCACTTCTGCTTATACTGTGTATTTCTCTTTTTGCTCTACTCTTTTCTACTGTTATTGCAGATTCGTTTTTCACACTTTTTGGGTTTCAGTGTCACAGAATTTATATATGATAATGATTTGTTTAAAAACAGATTTTGTCTTGGGGAGAAAACAGTTCGCTTAACTTCAGGTTAAGTTTCCAGTTCCAGTTTGCATGTCTGAGTCATTTTTGTGTTAATTTTGTATTAAGCGTACTTTTTCTTTGTTTTCGAATAAACGCGATAGCGGTCGCTGAAATACCGCAGTTGTTATATTCAAAATATCCCAATCATTTTGCTTAGAGGCTTGCCCATTCGAGTGGAAAATGGTTATAACTGCACATTTCGTTAATCTTCAATGCCTTAGCCCACACTGATTTTGTAGAGATTTTGAGTTAACAAGTTTAATAACATTGTTTTGTGCACTTTTTGGTTGTTGAGCAGATTGGAAATTACATAGCATAGATTTCTCCCTTTTCGCCCAACATAACACCTGAATATTTCATTAAGTTTTGCACAAAGTTCGATTCAATTTGATTTGAAACGCTCCATGCAGCATTTAAATTAAAATCTGTATTGTTTCCGACTGATTTCAGTTGAATGAACCGGCGCACCGAGCATATAAGTGTGCGTTTAATTGAAAATGAGTGCCATAATGCATATATAATTGCCGATTTGCGTCGCCATTGAGCAGCTTCGCGTGTATACAGCCTGTTTGACACATGTTTATTGATCGGGCAACACAGCTGTATTTAACTACGTTGCATACTTGTCCATAGATCTAGTATAGAATCGATATGGAGCCGTTAGAGTTGGCCCTGAGCGGGAAACTTTTCACGCTAGCAGCCCAAGGAAAGTCCATTTAATAATGTTGCGTTGCGTGTTAGTCGCTATGTTTACTATCATCATCACCATGATGATGAATATGATGATGATGATCTAATGCGTGCCTGCCGCCTCACTGCCCCACATTTAGCTGCTGACCCCATTTGGCTAACATTGCAAGCTGTCTCTCACATTTACAATTGTGGCGTGTCGGAGCTGGCAAAAGTTTCGTGTGGATTGTCAAAAACTAAACAAAAAGTAAACATATTGCTTGTGTGCCTAATCCTAATACTAACATTTTCTGTTTCATCACAATCTAATTCTCAACTTTGTTTTATTGTGGCAGAATGAGCACAACGCCGGCCAGTCTCATCGAGGCGGCTTTAACTGTGAGCAGCGTCGCTGCCGCTGCTGCTGCTGCTGCTGTTGGCAACGCAACTGCTGCATCGACGACCCTGAAACCGAATACGAACTACGTTGTACAAATGAAAAGTCCGTCGAGCGTCGCACAGGAGCCATTGGATCCCCTCCTGCACGTGGGCGATGGCATATTCCTGCAAACCAAGACCGCACAGGTGCTGGCAGGCGTGTTTGTCTGGGCGGCGCTGTTTGTCACGTGTCAACAGGTATCAATTTATTATCGAAATGTATCCACTGCACGATTAACTAATCGCATATCCATTTACAGATCTATCAGCATTTACGTTGGTATACCAATCCTCAGGAGCAGCGTTGGATAGTTCGCATTTTGTTCATTGTGCCCATCTATGCGACATACTCGTGGATTAGTTTGCTATTCTTCAACTCGGACAACGTTTACATTTACTTCTTCACGGTGCGCGATTGCTACGAAGGTGCGTTCTGCTCATAATCGCTTTCTGGCCACAGTCTGCTTTAATCCTACTTCGTTTTTACAGCCTTTGTAATTTACAACTTTCTGTCGCTATGCTATGAATATCTTGGCGGCGAGGGTAACATCATGTCTGAGATACGCGGCAAGCCCATAAAGACCTCCTGTTTGTATGGCACCTGCTGCCTCAAGGGCAAAACATACACTATTGGGTTTCTGCGCTTCTGTAAGCAGGCCACGTTGCAGTTCTGCTTGGTTAAGCCGCTGGTGGCATTTATCATCATCTTTTTGCAGGCCTTTGGCCACTATCATGATGGCGATTGGAGGTATGTTTCTGATTACTAATCATCTTAAATGCTTGCTAAATGTCTGCTTGTTCCTTTACAGTGCCGATGGTGGATACATTTACATAACCATCATCTATAACATTTCCGTTTCGCTGGCATTGTATGGCCTATATCTGTTCTACTTTGCTACGCGCGATCTGCTGACACCGTTTGAGCCCGTACTGAAGTTCTGCACCATCAAGTCTGTCATATTCTTGTCGTTCTGGCAGGGCGTGGGTCTGGCCATACTCGAGAAGGCGCAGGTCATATCGCCCATTGTGGACAGTGCTGGCACTGTCACCTCGGCGGGTACCGTTTCCGCTGGCTATCAGAACTTTTTCATATGCATTGAAATGCTGTTTGCAGCCATTGCGCTGCGCTATGCTTTCCCCTATCAGGTGAGTGAATTGCTTGTAAAATTTGACAGGTCGGGCGACGGATAAGATAAGATCCAAGTCGCTTATCAGCGAAATGTGCCACGCACGAATGACGAACTACAAAGTTTCACAATCACAACAAATGCTTTTACAATTTAACTATCTATTGTTGTGGCTTAATGCAGCTACAGTCATGCGTGTCATGTGACTCATATGGTAGATTCCCTATTTGTTTATAATGTAGCTCCAATTTGTAAATAGTTATTCGATAAGCATGGGCATATCAGATAATGAACAATGTAGGAACATGTTAAACTATCTTATGTATACAGATTGTGAGGGCTGTTCCATTGTATAAGATATTTATATGTAAGCAGCAGAATGACTATTAATAAATCCATTATCTGCAGGTCTATGCGCGCAGCTGCATTGGTGACGGCCATGGACGCTCTGTGACTATGCAGTCCATCTCAAGCAGTCTCAAGGTAAGCCATATAAATGAATTTGTTGGCAAGAGCAGGCGCTTACCATTTTCGTATTTCGTAGGAAACCATGAATCCCAAGGATATTATGACAGATGCTATACACAATTTCCATCCGCAGTACCAGCAATATACGCAATACAGTTCAGGTATGCATTGATTTTTTTCAGTGTACTTTCTGCCTTTTGTCTTCTGAATGTCTGTTGCCTGCGCTCTCTATAGCTGTTGTTAATCTTATCTTTTATTTTGCTTTCATTCGCATTACATTATCATTATGTTTTACACTTTTGTTTTTCTTTCTGTTTCTTATCTTTTGCAGACGTAACCTCAACTCAACGTTACGAAAAACTCTAAAACTCTTATTAAAATACAAAAATACAAAACAAAACAAAAACTCTAGCGATGCCCGCTACTAAACACTCTAATTATAATTCCGAAACAAAAGGAGGGACAAACAAAAAAAAAAAAAAAAAAACAAATTATACAAGCAGATAAAGACAAATCAAGTGTACTTATAGCTAATTATAGGCTTACAATTTGACACCACAGTTGCCTTTTGTTGCCGCTTAAAGATAAAACTAAAAACAAGCGATTAACAATTAAATACGTATTAGGCCTAGTTACTTACAGAAAGCGCGCACTCGAAAACCCAAAACAGAAATTGCCTAGTTACCTTAGAACTTTATGTATCTGAATTATGTACTCTAAAACCGTTTAAAGACATGCCTTGAACAACCCTCTGATGATTTGTGTATTTTTTAAATTATGTTTACGTTACGATTTAAGTCTTTTTATCAACTTATTTAAATGTTAGCATTCTACTATACATACTATACATATACACATATATATATTTCTATATATATATGTATATATATGGGTAATATTGAATAATATTATGTATGTGTAAACAAAGATTTTATTATTATATATGGTATGTAATTATTTGTAGAAATGGCAATACAAACAGATTCAAATGGAGCTTAGCTTGTACTAAACATGGCCCCCGATTAACACACATTTTGGACAGATATCTATCCATATCCAATTTTAACTTGTCAATTTTTATATCAGAATCTTCAAGCAACGCTCAGTTTCTTGCGGTTTTTGTACACTTAGCTTATGATGCATTTAAATTTTTAATTACGAACTTAAAGATCTTTCGATTCAAATATCCGTTAGCTCAAAGATACCAAAAACAAAACATAATATTTAGAGAAGAACATTGTTTGCTTTTTGATTTCCTTTTTTGTGATAGACTCAAATCGAAAGCTCGAGCATTTTAAGTTCGCGTGCATATGTGTTTTTTTTTTTTTTTGATAACTTTTGTAAATGTTTAAACAAATTGTATAAATTATCTATAAATTATCTATATAAAATAAATGTACAATAAGCTTAAAAACGTCGCATTTACTTTGCTTGCAATGTTTATAAGCCCGCATTTTGCATGTTCTCTTACAAGGCATGAATTTCGATCTATTGTAATTCCAACTAATCTACTTATGTGAGCTTTGGCTAATAACTAATTCGTGCAGGTGGCAAGAACTCGCGCGGCATACGCATCTCCAGCTACGACCCAGATGATCCGAACAGCGGCGGCGGCGGCGGAAACCAGGCCGCCTCCATGGGCGCCTCCAATGCGTGCAGCGGTGGATACAATGCGGTGGCCACCGGCGGCGGCAACAACAGCTGTGTGGCATCCAAGACGCTCGGAAATCAGCGTAAATTTATACCGGGCGGACAGCGTGTGGCCACCATAAGCCAGAACTACAACGAGAAGACGATGCTGCTAAGCAGCGACGACGAGTATCAGTAGAGGAACGCTGGCGAGAGCAGAAGTAAGATTAGAGGAGTTGGTCAAGATCCCGAGTGGTTCCATGTTTTGTTTTGACGAGTTGTTCGTTGTCACTTTTCTTCTTTTTTTTTTTGGGAATATTGAAAATGTTTCGTTCGATTTGCTTGTACAATAATCTTAAGTAGCGCAACAGCAAAAAAAAAAAAACAAAACAAAAAAAAAACGATAGAAAATGATTGATATATTTATATACATATAGAAAGGGCAGATGATTTATATACCAGATGTGTATATAATTTGAAGCCAATCAATATGATGATTACTTTGTATTTTTACACCGTGTATGTAAGATGTTTGATCAGTGAAAGTTAAGTTTAGTATGAAATTTTAATTTCATTTCGTTTGAAAAACTTTGTATAAATCAAAAGAAGACAAAACTTCACCTCTAGCGTCTAAAAACCGTCGTTGAGCAAATCTACAGGCTGCTTATACAATAAAACTTCAACAAATATATATATATATATTAAAAAATTCAAAGAAAATAAATAGCAACACAAATGGAAAAACAATATATATATATACACATATATATATTTAACGACTAAGAGAACATTTTTAAAATCAGCAACATAATTATAGCGCGAATATGGTGGGTCCGGGTAAACGCGTAGCAGCAAATAACTAGGTGAATATGTATGTATGTGAAAAAACATTATTGATTGTTTGATTATAATTATATAATTGAACAATTGATTATAACGGATTTGTAGGCAACTTCCGAGCAACAGAAATGTAAAAATCTTTTACCTGTACAGAGTATGATAAATATAAGAAAATTTCCGAAATTCAACTCACTTTTAGTGCGAAATAGAAAAGTATGGCTTCTCAAATAACAAAAACTATTAATTATCAATTAAGGAACGTGAAAATAACACGAAATATGCGCTGATCGATGGGCAACTGGCAATGTCAAATTATGTAATTTTATGTGCAATGCGAGCCAACATAAAATAAACGTTTTTATGTACATCAATTTTGTTAACCCAAAAGAAAAAAAACCGAGAATAAAGTACATAAATGTCATTAAATACACAACATAAAATGTAACCAAAAGAGAAGCCGCGCTCAAAGACGAGCTCGAGAAATGTGCACTTACCCACACTGGACAAGGACAATAATCGATATAAATAACGGTAACTAAAGATGCCTAAGTCGCGCTTACTAACACTGCTCGGACATAATGGTAAGTGCGTTAAATATGATTCGAATTGGGTTTATCACAATTAATTTTTTTTTACTGGTTTATATGCTCATATATACATATGTCTACTTTATCAATTGTACGGGGATAATATTTAAGTGTTTTAAAAATTATTATATCGATAAGCTTCTTCTCTTCCTGGGCGGTCCCTCGTCGTCTAAATCTTCTGCGCTACGCTTGCGTTGAAGCCGCATTGTGGCGACTGTTCTTCGAACTTCATCTCGTCTGATCGGAGGCCTTGGCGGCGGCGTCCCTGTGACCGGCATTGGCGTCACCGGCTTAAGGGGAATCACATTTTCCTCGGTAATCTCTATGCAACGCAGCACGTTTTCGCGTATGAGCACCATGCTACGCTCCTTGTCTGGCAGCTTATCTCGGTCACTCCTTAAGGCGCCATAAACTACCTCGCTGCACAGCTCCACAGTGTAGTCGGTGCGTATGATGCACAGATCCACACCAGTGCCGGAGGCCAGATCATTGTTAATGCCAGCGGTGACAGCGTCCACCATCAGTTCGCGTGCATCGTCCTCCTCCAGGCCGAGCTGCCAGCGATCCTCCAATATGCCCATGGCTCCAAACTGTCCGGATCCAACAGAGTTATACAAGCACTTCTCGGATGTGCCATCGAAGTGCACACTATACAGATGCACGCCAGACTTGTCCACGCCGCCGATCACAAAGCTGACCATAATTCGACCCAAGTTCTGCATGAGGGCTTCCTTGGTGAGTTGCTTGGCGCAGACGACGGGCACGTGCCTTTGATTGATGCTCTTGTAATGCAGCTCCAGCTGCTTTTCCAGCAACTGCGTTAAATTGTCCAGATCGCTGGCATAGCCACTGCCCCCACAGCTAGGCATGGATGAGTGGGTCAATTGATCTCAGATCTGTCACAAACTTCACACTTACTATATATTGTTGTGCAGCCGACGAATCTTTGGACTCTCAGCCGAGCTGACTATGTTCCTGCGCGTCGCCCTAGTGTCGGTGCCAATCATGACGCCCTTGTTGAAGTGCAGCCCCACCACGGTGGTGCCACTGTTAAACGGCAGCGGCGGATGGAAGCCTGTCTGCATCAGCTCTGCGTTGCTGCAAAGAATCTGCTGGGTATTAAATTGAACAGGTTGTTGTGCAAATGTCTCTTACCGCAGGTAGTTCTCATAGTTAAAGCCTCCATAGCAGTGCCTTATGGTAAATGAATTGTTGTTGGAGATCATCGCGTCTGTCGTGTTTCTGCAAAGTATATTTAAAGACAGTTGTGTGCGCTGTGTTAATAGCGAATATAAATGTTTATAGAAATAGACTACTTGGATGTGGACGTCATACATACTAGGTAGATTTAGTTCCATTTTTGTGTTTTCCTCTGTAATTATTGCATTGGCCCTTGGCAAAGTCGAAAATCTACATTTGCAGCCCATTCTTCAATTCGCCTCTAATGCTGTCACATTCAAATCATATGGTCCCTCTGGAAATCATTAAATTACGCTCGCAGCATTAAGTCGAATTCGCCGCCTACATATGTATGTACATATGTATATTTCACCGTATGGGAGCGAAATGCATCGCTGCAGTTTCGTCAAATTAGTTATAATTCGTTTCTTAGCAGCAAACGTCGGCGGTGAAGCTGCATATTTAACCGGGTGTTTTCCGTTGTTCTATTTGTTTGTACATATATATATATATCAATATATTAATATATCATATATTAATCAATATATCATACTAGCAAACGCGCTCAAAATAATGCCGAAAAGCTGCATCATGATCGCCGTCGGGCTTAGGAAGTCGCATAGACACCCAACCAAAGACAATCTAAATACGTTATATACATACATATATGTATATTTGATCCAACTCTTGTGCAATTTAAAACGGTCTCGTTTATACATTTTCTTTTGTCAGCTTAAGAAAACTGCATGTAAATTATCAATTGCGCATTTGTTTTCCCTCTTCTTTTTGTGCCTTTCTTTTGGTTTTCGTGCGGCGATCGCTTTTGGCAATGAGAGCAAATAAAGTGTGCGTAAGGAAGTGACAAAAAAGTGAGAGCGTAACTAGAGCGAAAAAAAAGATAGCTCGAGCACACAATGCCGCGTTTTTTTCCGCTTGCGCCCTCGTATGCCTTTTTTCGTTGCATCAATTCGCCGCATTAAATCAACGAAAGCGTTTTTGGACATGGATGGCATATGCATATGCATACATACATGTGTACTTAAGCTTGCGTACATAAAAACTCTCTTTATTAAGAGAAGGTTAAACAATTTTTTTTTTAAGAAAGATATCAAACATTTTTAAGTACAGTGCCATATTTTATAACATAATAAATATTCAAAACTGAAAACGAGTACATATTAAAGGAAAAAGAGAGAGAGAAAATAATCTAGCGTTTGGATACATTTTCAACTTTAATGACATATTTTCAGCGGGTAAGAGCTATACTTTAATTTAAGTAAATTAATTATAATTTTCTAAAGAAATGAAAAATTGTGCTTCAATTCAGCATAATTAAGGTGATTAATAATATGCTTATTGGTCACGTTCTTAATGCCATGCTATTTATTTTAAATTGTTTTCCCATTTCCCCAAATATTATTAAAATAGTCAGTCATGTAATTTTAAATAGGTGTCTAATTAAAGCAGGCCCAAATGATCAGCAATGTTTAATAATAGTTATTAGCATTAAAAACACTACGATTTACATTTTTCAGAGCAACCAAGCGCGCTTCCCCTTTGAATGCTTTTGCCTAGAAGCAATAATACCATATGAATATCATAAGTTACAATGATATTAGCCCAAATAGACCCATTTTCCTTCACACACACACACACACACACACACACAACACAACACACTCACACAAGGGCTGCTCATGTGCTCGACTTTTGGAAACCCAAACGCGCCAGGCTCCATTAAACACCCCAAAACAGTTTTGTGCACCTCCCCCCCCTACACGCGCAAGCCCTGCAAATTTGGGGGTTGTGGGGCAGGTTATTGGGTTGGTTTCGGGTCGCTGCAAGCCAAGTATAAAAGTGTCAAAACTTTCTGTTCAGAGTTTGTTGTATCCTTTTGTTATTTGTACTCGGAGTGTATATACAAACACACACACACACACACACACTGGGGCTTATATACCACTCCGAGCAGCCCACACAAAAATCTAACAAAAATCAACGAGTGAGCAAGAGAGATGCAGATGTGGAATAAGGGAAGGAGAAAGAGAGAGCACAAGAGCAACAGCAAAAACCATAAGCTTTTTCCTTTATTTGCACGTCTTTTTGTATGTGTGTGCTCTGTGTGGGTGTGCGAAGGGGTGGGATGATGCGGGGCGCCGTTGGGTCGGGTGGTTGGGTGGTTGGGTGGTTGGCCCATTCGAGGTTCGCCTGCTCGCAGCTGCTGGGCGCCCGTTCAAAATACAAACGGAATGATAATGATGTGCGTTAAAAAATACACAGACACATCCGCATAAGGCCACGGAGTGCAGGGCGTGGAAAGAGGGAGGTGATGGGGATAGGGTGGACAAAGGGGAGCGACGTGACGTGAGAGCAGCAACAAACATGGCGCCTGAGCCAAAGTCAAACAAGTGTCTGCTCTGCCTTGCGGCGCTGCTCCGATTTTTATTTATAGCTGAGCGTATCACAAGCCTGTGTGTGTGCGCGCGTGTGCGTGTGTGTGTGTGTGTGTGTGTGTGCGTGTGTGTAGGATATACACGGGAAATGCCTTAACACAATTACAATAACTTTGACATGAAAAGTGGAACAATAAACCAAACCAAACCGAACTGAACCAAACCAAATGGCATCGTTGACACCACAGGCGGCGCCCAGTTGTCCAATTGTCCCGCTCCCTCTCTCTCCTTGCCCGGCGGCCGCTGCCGCTGCTGCTGCCGGTCCGACAACACACGCGCGCGCTGCTCACTTCCGGCTCTCGAAGCCAACTACTGTGTGCATGTGTGTGTGTGTGTGAGTTGTGGTGTTGTTGTTGGTGTGTGAAATGAACCGACAGCCGTCGGCAAATGTTTCATAAACAACAACAAAACAGTTATTAAGTGAAATTACAACAAGACGCGCCACACGAAGCAACATTTGATGCGCTACAGCCACTTGCAGCGGGTAGCTTAGTTAGAGTGTTAACATAAAAAGAACTTTCAGGTTTTGAGCTTGGAAAGTCCATTAAGTCTTTAAGCAAAATTACTTGTATTGCATAAGTACACACTTGTTCCTTAAGCCTTAAGCGCTTATTTTGAAAGCACATGGAAGCTCCCAGCATTTGCCATAAGTTGAAGCTTTTAGCTTGTGTTTCGCATACATCAAAGAGCTTTGAGCTTTATAGGTCTTTGAAAGCTTTAGGCATCACTAATTGTGTTGAACAGCTGCTCTGTGAAGCTTTTAGATTTCGTTATAAAAGCACATTAAAGCTTATAAAAGCGCGCTAGGTCTTAAAGTCTATCAACTATTTTAGGTGCACTTATTTATTTCTAATTTAGGCTTCAGGCTGAGCTAATCGATTACTATCGATCCTTTTGTTGTGAGCTAAGTAAAAGTCTCGCTGGTAGTAGGGCATGCCGCAGGCAATGGCAGTAACTTATATTCTGGCTGGCAATCACACACGCACACACACACTCACACACACGCACACATACGCACACAGCCAAGCAGCTTTCATATGGTAGTTGCGCAGCCTTTTATTAATTTAGGTTAGTGACTTAAGTTTAGCATTTGCCGCAATTAACTTAATTAGAAATGCATTTCGTGGAGCCAAGAAGCAAGAACGAGCCGACAAATAAACACTCAAGTGTGAGTGTGTGCGAACGAGTGTGTGTGTGTGACTGTGACTGTGAATGGTTGTGTTTGCCTGGCAAAAGGACTTGCCGCTGCCTGACGGGGCCATAAAACATTTGTGTCATTGCTTTGCACCGGAACACACTCGCATGTGTGTGCGTGTGTGCAGGTGTGCGAGTGTGTGCGTATGCTTGGTTTATTGGCTATTATGACAACAAATATACCAGGCAAGAAACATATTTATTAAAAGCATTTGCGCGATTAACTAAATGCGTTTTAGCGCTGCGGCAAAGTTGCGTATACGTAATGCGCATTACCAATGCCTGCACACATGTGTGTGCGAGTGTGTGAGTGTGTGCGTGTTTGTGTGTGGGCGTGGCAGCTCGCAGACAGCCAAAATTTATAAGTTGCCAGCAGGTTTTGTTTGGTTTCGAGTCTTGATGTTTGTTTTCTTGAGCATTTCTTGAAACAGCCAAGTTTTTTTCTTGTCATTATCTTAAACGCGACCCACGCATCGCTAGCAACACGTTTTAATTTTAGACTTTTGGTTTAGATTTGGTTTTCGATTGGACATTTGTCAGCTGATTTGTTAGCCAAAAATTAGCAATACATTTAACCATGTGACATTTATCTAATAAGCAATATTATGTAATCGCCTTTTAACAATAAGTTATTGTTCACATTGTGAATGCTTTAATTAAGCACTTAAATATATGGCAAACAGGTTGTTAAGAGTGCGAAAACTTTTACCTTGTTGACTTCTCTCAGAAGTTATTAATTGAATTCAAATATAAAGAGCTCAACATTTATTTGTTCAACAATTAAAGCTTGATTTATTGACGCAATTCCATTTTGTTTAAGTTGTGCTTTGGCTCACATATGGCAGACGCTTCTTATCTTTAGATTTAGTTTGTTAACTACTTTTCCTCATACTGAAACTCTGGTTTTGGCTTTAGCTTTGGTTTATCATATATGTTCTTAATTTTAAAGAAATTTATAAAATTATTTTCTATTATCAATTGCGCCCGTTCTCCTGAAATGATTGCAAGTTGTAAATAATTTCATATACGAAATGCGTGCTAAATTAGATCTCTATCCAAAAGTGACATGCGTCAAATATGGTTAGATAAATTCGTAGGTCAGGGCCCAATCTATTTATACCTTATAGCTGGGTCTACCTCAAAAAGTTTTTCGTTTTTGTATTACATCTAATTTATGTTTAATTTATCGTAAGAGATTAAATGGAATTTCGGCTTGAAGCTATGTTAACTTACATAGCTCTGTTAATTCTAAGCAGAATATTTTTGCTAGCCTAATATTATCAGCTTTAACTAACTTATTTTCAATCTATATTTTATATCCAATTTATTAAAGTTAATTACATTTATGTTGAGTTGATAAGCACATATAAGACCTAAATTCCCAGAGATCTTTTGAACGAAGCAACACACAACTCAGCCGCAAACACTCTTCCATCTTGAGAGGTTTTCATTGAATAATTACATTATGGACTGGGTCAGAGTAACTTGTATTGCTGCTAAGCGCTTCCCATGGCAGTCAAGTGGAAGTGGAAGCGAAGGGGGGCAGGCGTGTTGTTCGAGGGAGTTGGTGTGTATTAAACAATAGCAACTTCTGCGCCCCCGCAATGCTGCCTTATGTGGCAGCAGTCGTTGAATTAGCATAACTTGTCATAAGTTGA